GAGCGCCCCTTGATAGCCAGCCAGCGGCCCTGCCGCAGCTCCATCCCCAAGAAGCTGCAGGTGTCCGAAGCCCGCTCAGGCTCATGGACTCCCACGCCAGCGCCCTCCAGCTCCGCGGTGATGCGATCCAGGGCGCGATCGGCCTCCGACTCGTCGCCGCTGACGGCCAGGTAGTTGTCCACGTACCCTGCGACGGCGGCCTGCCCCTGCGGCTCCACGACGACGCCGGGGAGGCCGTCCTCGATGATGAGGCGGCCCGGCACGCCAGCCCGCGAGACCGCGGTCCGCAGCGCCAGCTGGCAGAGGTGCAGCGCCCAGGAGAAGCCCATCGGCAGCACGACCAGGCAAGCCTGCACCCTGGCGGCATCGGGGAGCCCCGTGATACCGCGGGCCTCCAGGTGCCGCCTGTCGATCGGCGGAAGCCTGAAGTAGCGGCACAAGCCCTCGGGCATCGGCAGCCGGTAGAAGGCATTGACGATGTCTCCTGCCGCGACGACCACCTTGCCACCTGGCGCCTCCAGGTTCGAGAAGGCGGCAGCACTCGGCAGCGTGGTGGCTGGGGGGTCCGTGAAGTACGCATTCGCAGTACGAGTATCAAAGATCAGCCTCAGACGGTTGCTCTTCTTTGCCACGCAGAAGACTCCAATCGGCTTGATACGAGGGTCCTCCGCCTGGAAGCAAATCATCTTCCGCTTCAACATCTCAGCAAGGAAGTCGGCGAACGTCGCCGGAGAGACGGCAAGGTTGGGGTCGACATACGGCCCGCGAGGGCATACCTGCTGCAGGAGGGCGTCCGCCTCCTCGCGACCACGCAGCATGCTCGAGCTCCATGCCCTAAGCCACTGAGCGTCCGGGCCAGCAACGACCTTGGTGAGAGGCACGGGGTCGTCGCCGACGTCGGGCCACGAGATCAGGTCCCGCGAGCAGGGTCGGCGAGGCCCCCCCGTGGCGCAGGGCGGAAAGCCAGAGAGAATATCCGAAAGCGCTCCTTCGGGAAAGCCCTCGCCCTCAGCCAGCGGCTCGAGGCAGGCGAAGGTGGACTGGATGTGCGCGAGAGACGCCCGCTGGCCTTCAGAAACTCCGAGGGCTGACGGCTGGGCCTCAGGGGCACACACAGCGTTCATGACGTCGATGGCGTCGTTGGCCCAGTCCTGCCAAGGAGCATCATCAGAAGGTTGACGGTGCCCGCGGCGGCTGCGCACAAAACTGGAGCCCTTGCGTGGGCGGCCCAAGAAAGGCAGGGGGAAGATGTCCCGCTGGCGCCCTCCTGGCTCCGCACGGCGCGAGGGCAGAGGTGGCCCGTCAGCCGAGGCGTCAGGGCCCGATGGGCTGGATGGCGGGAGCGGGCGCCCAACTCCACCCCCCGCTCCGAGGCTACTTGTCATCCTTGCCAGAGCCCTTGTCGCCCTTGGTCCCCTTCTTCTTGCGGGCCAAGTCGCGCTCCTCTCTGGCTTTGCGCTGCTCCTTCCTGTAAGCATTCATCTTCGTGAATTCGTCCCTGATGTGGTCCTGCAGCATCGGCGCGACGCACACGTTCCCGCGCAGCTGGTCAGTACCGAGCAGCACGTGTGCGTCGAGGCTGCCTGAGTCGGCTGCCGGGGCGACGCGGTCCCTGTAGCGCTCCTCCTGGAGCTGCACCGACCTGGCCAGCAAGCATCTCGCCCGAGGCGAGATTCGCAACATTCAGCTGGTCGTAGATCACCATGCGCTCGAGGGTCCTACACGCCCGCTCGTGCTCGTCGACGCCAGGCTCGGTGCCCTGCAAGCGCGTCTCCGAGAGCCAGCGCGAGTGGCGGCCCGTTGGAGTGCCACCGCGAGCCTCCATGAACTTGAGGACCCACAGCGCCGTCCGCGGCCCCCTGACTGGCCAATCGGGGAAAGCCCCCTCGGTCATGCCCATGACCGCGCTGCGGTAGTCCGCGTGCCGCTGGCCCTGCAGGTCGTACGTGACGGGCTGGATGCGAGCATCCACGGGCGCGGCCGCAGCCGCCGCGGCCCCACGGCCGCCTTCGGCGGCAGCTGGCCCTGCAGCCGCGGGCACCGCTACCAGCGGCGGCGGGGGGCCTGCCAGCGCCGGGGCGCCTGCCCCGGGCGCCGCTGGGCCGTCAGCGAGCGCGGCGGCCAGGCCAGCCACCCCAGCCGCCACGGCGGGTCCCCCGAACCCGGCGGCGGGCGCCGCGGGGGGGGCGGCCACCAGCAATCCAGCGGGCGGCCCCACGCCACCAGCGGCGAGCGCCGCTGCCGCTGCGCCTCCGGCCGGCGCGATGCCAGCGGCGCCAGGCCGAGGGCGGGCACCGCCTGCCGCGCCGACCAGGTTGGGCACCACCGTGTCCTCAGCGCCGAGGCCGACTCCCATCCTTGCAGCTCCCGCGGCCAGCACCTGCGCGACCCGCGCGGGCGCGGGGACGCCCCTGAAGCCGTGCACGTGCATCCCAACAGCCGCTGGAGGGTACGCGCCCATGCGTCCGCCCTCGCACGGCAGCCAGCGCCGCACTTCAGCGACGGCGAAGAGGTCCTCCTCGTAGCTGTCGTCGTCCGGCGTGAGGGTGCACGCCAGGCTCGAGCCGTCGGGCGCGAGCACCACCAAGCGCTCGTGCCACACGTTAGCGTACCCAACGTACTCGACCAGGATGAAATCCCCTTCCTGCAGGCCCAGGGCGGCGATCGGATGCCGTGCAGCGGCCGCAGCCGCCATGCTAGCGGGTCAGCTGGGGCCTCGAGGCTCGCAGAGCTGCCACCCGAGCCGCCGCCAGCTGCGCCGCTGAGGCCGGCGCCTCCAAGGCCGCCGTGGGCGGCCGCGCAGGGACGTCCGCCGACGCAGGGGCCCCTGATGTCGCGGGAGCGGCCCGCCTGCCAGAGGCCCAGCCAGCGGCGCCCACCGCGGCAAGGCTGGCCAGCCACGCAAGGCTAGCACCCAGCAGCTCGGGCCGCGGGACCTCCGACACCGAGCCGCCTGGGCACGCCAGCCGCGGCTCGCAGGTGCAGGTGCAGGGCGGGCACGGAGGCGGGGCGGGGCACGCTGGGCACTGCGCACCCCAGGCGGCGCCCCAGGCCGCCGCGCCAGCGGCGAACCCCCGCGTCGCCTCGCGGAGGATGAGGCCACCGGGGTCCATCCACGGCCCGCCCCCTCCGCTCGGAAGCCCCTGGGGCCTCGGAGCTTGAGCAGTACATATGTATATATACACATATATATATACATATGAATATATATGTATAGGTGTATGGATATACTCATGATATGAGCGGACTTCACACACACTTGGGACGCTCCTCGAGATTATGCCGAACACTGTCGAATGCAGCCAACATCGTGCGATTAGATTCCTCCAGAGGCAAAACCAAAGACGACTGAACAAGGTTAGGCAACCGCAACTTGATCGCATCAAAATGAGAGGCCACACCAGAAACCACCAGAGACCGAAAATGTTCATCAGGATATAGTTGAGGGGGGACGGGCCCTTTGCCAGTCCACCCAAGTGATCTATCGTCACCTTTGCGTTGATACTTATGTTCCGAAGCAGCACCTTCACCAGCGGCAGCAGACACTGTAGCGGCAAAAGAGGGTAACCAGTAGCAGACAGCAGAGCAGCAGCAGCAACTAGTGCAGGTAGTTCACCAGCAGCAGCAGACACGGTAGCAGTGTACCTTTTCCTCGTCCTGCGAGGAGAACGTGGGAGCGTCGCTCATGGCTTGCAGGGCACGCATGATATCGGCATCAGCAGGAGAGACGGGCGCATGAGAAATTGCACTGCCAGAGTGAACAGCCTGGATGCGGGTGGTCGGGCTCACGCTGCAGCTTCCCTGCTGGAAGCAATGGGCCTTCGAGCAAGGCCCTCCGGCTGCGGACAAGTTCAACCAGCAGGGCCGAGCTGTCGAACTTAAGTCAATATGGCTACGCAGGTGGAGGAGGAGGTGGAGGAGGAGGAGGAGGAGGAGGGGGGGCAGGAGCAGGAGAAGGAAAAAGTGGAAGAGGATAAGGAGGAGGGAGGAGGGAGAAAATGTCCCAATGCGTCGCTGGGCGCCATTGCAAGACCTCCCGAGGCCCTCCGTGAAGCTCCCGACCTGAGCAATTACCTCCAGATATCTCCGACTAGGAGAAGGAGGAGGTTGGGGAGGAGGGAGAAGAAGGGCAGGAGGAAGAGGAGGAGGACGGGAAGGATGGGGAGGAAAAGGAGGAAGGGGAGGAGGACGGAGGAGGAGGAGGAGGAGGAGAGGAGGATTTTCTTTGAGAGGAGGATGTTGAGGAGGATTGAGAAAGGAGGAGGAGGAGAGGAGGAGGAGGAGGAGGAGGAGGAGGAGGAGGAGGAGAGGGAGGAGGAGGAGGAGGAGGGCAGAGGAGTATGAGGAGGGGGGGAGGCGGAGGAGGAGGAGGAGGAGGAGGAGGAGGAGGAGGAGGAGGAGGAAGCGGAGGCGAAGGCGGAGGAGGAAAAGGGGGAGGAGGAGGAGGAGGAGAAGAAGGAGGAGGACGACGAGGGAGCGAAGGGGGAGGCTGTGTCAGGAGCGCAGGGGGCTCCATGCCTTGCAAAGGGTACCAGAAGGAGGTCCTCGGACTCTGCCTAGGGCACCAGGGTGCTCTGTCCGCCCTCTGCGAAGCAGCTGAGGGCGGGACGCGGCGGGACGAAACAGCGAAGAGGCCGATGACAACGCCGAAGCAGCCCGGGAGGAGGAGGCGAGGCACTCAGGGGGCAAGGGCGAGGCGGACGGGGGCGCGCGGCGGCCACGGGCGAAAACCTGCGACAGAGAGGGGAGGGGCGCATGCGACGCAGCCGGTGCGGGGAAAAACGACGACGGACCACAAAGGGACGAGCAACGAACGACGACGAACGACGACAGCCGACGACGACGACGAACGGCGACAGGCGACGGGCGGCGGCGTCGGCGGCGGCGGCGGCGGGCAGCCGGCGGCGGCGACAGCTGCGGCTAAGGCGGCGGCGACCGCTGCAGCGGCAAGGGCGAAGGCCGGACAGGGCTCGGAGGGCGGAGGCTGGGCTCGGCGGAACCAGCCGAGGGGGACGCGGTCGGGCAGCGCGAGGGGCTCCCCGGCCGTCTCGCGCAGCCGCCTGCCAGCCCAGCGGGAGAGGGGGTCAGGTCAGGTCGAGATGCAGTCGTCGTGCTGCCAAAAAGAACATCGACAAGTGAGGAACGAAACCACTTTCCTGGCCACTGCGAGCATCGGCCACGAACGGGCTTCCTGGCCCAGATCTACTAAAGAACGGCCCGAGAGCCAGAGAAGCCCTCCCACGCCCAGGGACGGTCGAGAACTTCTGGAGGGCGTGTCGCGGCGACGGCCTCGGCGACGCGCTGAGCCCTGCAAGCGGACAGCGCGCCGCTTCGCTGCGCGGGGCGAGAGGCCTCGAAAGGCTCAAAACGTTGACGCCGGGGGCCCTGGAAGTGAAGAGGGCGTCGCGCCGCAGCGCGGTGGACCAAAGCTGAAAGAGCGACCCGCTATCCCAACGTTCCCACACGATGTGAAGGAGGGGGAGGGATCGGGATTCGAGGATCGAGGCTCCCAAATCTCCGACGATATGATGCTTTTCAGCCTGGGCGAAATTCCTCGATTTCGGCCCTCGGGGCCTCGGGTCCCAGGACCGTCAAACGCGGATCCAGGACGATAAGCTACCCCCAGGGAAGGTGAAGAGACCTCTGGGGCCGCGCGCTGGAAGCATCATATCGTCGGTCGTCGGGGTTCGCAGTGAGAGGTCTTCGTACAGTTCGTGTCTCGAGGTCTCCGTGCCTGAGGACCTTAAGAGTTTCTGCATGGCCTCGTCGCCGCGGCTGGGCGCAGCCCGAAAAACTAAGCAGGATGGACCCCGGCAAGGTTCTGGGGGCGGATATTGACCAAATTGTGACGGGAAGCCCTCGAGGATCCAGATTCGAGGATACAGGTTTTTGGGCGACTGTGGAGCCTGATGGGGCGCCCTCGCGGCCGCGGGTGGATCCACCTTGAGTTTCTAGCCGGAGAATGCATACCCCTGAACGGTCCGGGGACAATTTTGTATCCTGGACCCAGACCTCTGGCAAACCACAAAATCCGCAACCCTCAGCGTGGACTCCTGGGGGCCGCTCTTTGAGCAGGGGCCGATAGGCCTACTACGACATGCTCTCAGAACCCAGCAATATAGTAACAAGAAAAACAAGGTTCTTGGAACATAAACCCGAAGAGTCTAAACAAGCCCGCATCAGCCAGAAATGTTCTGAGAACGTCTCGTGCAGACCACAAAAAGTTCTGACAACACTCTTCTGTGGCCCTATAGGCAAGAAGGGACGCGGCACCACTGCTCGAGCTCTGGGGCCCCAAGGCTGTCAAGAATGGCCCAAGGTGAAAGACCGGCCGCGTGACCCAGTGACAACCCCGCTTTGAACGGGAACCGCCTTGCATCCGCGCAGCTGCTGCATTATTTGTGTTGCCTTCTCGTGTTCCTCCTCTAGGGTCCCGTGGGGTCCGGTCGGTCCTGTTTGCATCCCGCGGGAACTACATGTGTTTCTTCAGACGACCAGAGGCGGTACAGTATAACGGGCCACCCACGCCCAGTGGATGCTGATTATTTACAATCGGAGCTCAGACCATCTGGCGGCCAAATGACAAAGAACATCCAAGGGTACCCTCCCCAGGATGCACCAGAACATCCAGCAAACACGAGGAACAGTAGGGTACCCTCCCCCGACCGACCTCGATTTTATCCGTCGGTCCGACTGTATTTTGTATTCTCTTCTTCGAAGGGTTCGAGAGCTCTGGCTGGGGCCCACGTCACGCACAAAAAAAATATCGTGGCACCCCGCAGATGCAGATAAAACTGAGGGGGCGGTGGGGACGTCGGCAGTTTACGAGACTCTGGAGAAGCCCGCCGCTGGCGCCAAAGTTTCACACATTATGCAACGAGCCCGCCGCAGGCGCCGATGTTTTCGTCGAGCCATTGTGGGTAGGTCGCGGGTGGGTCGCAAATGGGTCGCGGGTGGGTCGTTGGGTCGCAGGTGCAGAAGGCAGAACTTACACCCCACAGTAATCACCCCGACATGCGAAACCGTTTAGTAAACTCACACAGGGAATGAAGCGAACAGGGCAAGGCTGCTAAGTCAACGCCCAGGGCCGTTTAGTAAACGTCAATTGTCGGGTCTAGGTGGTTTTTCCTCCCTTGAGGGTGGGTCGCGGGTGGGTCGTGGGTGGGTCGAAGGGTGGGTCGCGGGTGGGTCGAGAAGAGTCGCGGATGGGTCGCAAGGTGGGTCGCGGGTCGGTCGCGAGGTGGGTCGCGGGTGGGTCGCGGGTGGGTCGCAGGGTGGTCGCGGGGTGGGTCGCGGGCGGGACGATCACGACAAACAACAACAACAACAACAACAACAACAACAACAACAACAACAACAACAGCAATAATTTTGATACTGATCGCTCTTATCTGTTCGCGTGTCATTCAGTGTGCATATTCCAAACCCTGGATGCCCGCCCTTTTCGTCTTCGATCGTACACCCTTTTGGGGGGTATATTCATTCCCTGCCACGCGCGGTTGGTGAAGTCCTTGGAAACGAAGGGTAACAGGTAACGGCGGAGAGCGAGGACGAAGGGATCGGAGGAAGGGAAGGGAGGGGCAAGAAGTAGGGAGGACTATGATTTGCGCTGCGAGTGGCGACTCAGCTTGCGCCATGGCTTGCGACAGCCACTCCATCGCAGGTTAACAGTAAGTTTCGCCATGGGTCGCGCCGTAAACAGCGCCACGTACCACCCCCTTGAAACAAATCGTGGGTACCCCCACGGAGGGACGTACAGCTGCGAAGCGGTGTCATAACAAATTCGTGGAACCCTGAAAAGAAGCGAGATGTTGGGAGAGCGGGGCGGAAGGATAGTGAGAACTGCAACCGTGTCGAGAAAAGCGGGAGGATGTGGAGTGGATTGGGAAGGAATGGACAAGAGTAGGGTCTCAGGAGGAAGAGCGGCAAGTAGTGGAGAATATGAACCGGGAGGAGTGCGGAGGAGCGGGGGGCGCACTGAGGAACCTGGAGGAGGGACTGGGAATAATTTGGGAGAAATGCGGGATGCGAGCGGGAAGGGGTGGAGATTGTTGGGGTGGGATGGGGTGGCCTGGGGAAGAGTGGGCGGAATGCGAACAACTGAAGATAGCACAATGGAGCACGAACGACATGAAAATGAATATAAAAAGGAAAGAATAGAAAAGTAAGGAAATATCACCCGGGAGCCTTTGTTGGCGCGGGCCGCGACGGGCGCGAACGAGCGGGGGCCCCGAAGGGCATACGTATAGGGGGCCGCAGAGGGCAGCGACGGAGCCGCTGAGGGCAGAAACGGGGCCACGAAGGGCAGAGAGGGGGCCACGAAGGGCGACAGCGGGGCCACGAAGGGCATGCATATGGGGCCACGACGGGCGACTGCGAGCGGGGGCCACGAAGGGCATACATAGATGGGGCCAGAAAGGGCGACAGAGGGGCCACTGAGCGCAGAAAGTGGGCCACGAAGGGCAGCGAGGGGGCCACGAATGGCGACAGCGGGGCGACGAAACGCATGCGTATGGGACCACGAAGGGCGCGAGCGAGCAGGGGCCCCGAAGGGCAATTAATCCGGGGCCACAGAGGGCAGCGACGGGGCCGCTGAGGGCAGAAACGGGGCCACGAACGGCAGAGAGGGGGCCACGAAGGGCGACAGCGGGGCCACGAAGGGCATGCATATGTGGCCACGACGGGCGACTGCGAGCGGGGGCCACGAAGGGCATACGTATATGGGCCACGAAGGGCGACAGCGGGGCCACTGGAGGGCAGCAAAGGGGCCACGAAGGGCAGCGAGAGGGCCACGAAGGGCGACAGCGGGGCCACGAAGGGCATGCGTATGGGGCCACGACGGGCGACTGCGAGCGGGGGACACGAAGGGCATATAATGCGGGGCCACAATGGGCAGCGATGGGGCCACTGGGGGCAGCAACGGGGCCACGAAGGGCAGCGAGCGAAGGCGACCGCGGAACCAGTACGGGCAGCGAGGGGCATCGAAGGCGGGCGAAGGGCAGCGAGCGGCGACTGCAGTCCCTAACGGGCTGGTTGGGCGGGCAGGCCCAGACGGACGGGTCGATCGGGCGGGTCGTTGAAACGTGAATTCTGCTTGAACCGCCAGGCAATATGCAACGGGAACGCGATTCCGGAGTGTCGAGGAGCGGCATCTGAATAAATTGTAAGGAAATATCAGGCGGGAGCCGCGATTCAGTGGTAAGCTGCGAAGAAGTCCTAAGCGAGAGCGCGATTCTTCAATACATTGTGAAGAAATATCAAGCGGAAGCCGCGATCCAGTGGTAAATTGCAAGGAGGTCCCAAGCGAGAGCGCGATTCTTCAATAAATTGTGAGGAAATATCAGGCGGGAGCCGTTGTTGTTGTTGTTGTTGTTGTAAGCCGAGGGCCAACGACACAGTTAGACCCTCAAGACTTTCCTTGGTGCAGAACAAGGTGCGAGCCCCGGGAAGGGCACTTCAATCGAAAAAACAATGTGCACCGGACGGGCAACAACAAGAACAACAACAATAGCAACAACAATAATTATAACAACAACAGCAACAACAGCAACAACAACAACAACAACGACAACGACAACATCAACATCAACATTAACAACAACAACAACAACAACAACAACAACAACAACAACAACAACAACAACAACAACATCAACAACAACAACAACAACAACAACAACAACAACAACAACAACAACAACAACAACAACAACAACAACAACAACAACAACGCAACAAACATAATTCTCGCCACGAATTCCTGATTCAGCCACGCACGCAGGGACAATGAATGACCGTTTGGCCCCCTCACTCTGATTAGCAGCTCGGCGTCGGAGGACGCCAGGGGAGGGAGTGTGGCACAAGGCGCGGGAGTTGAAGTGTCGCAAGCTCCAGGGGGAGGTTGGACGAGGAGGGTGCAGGGGGAAGGGAGGACGAAGGGGAAGCCTACGGAGGAGGAGGAGCCTCCTCCTCTTCCTCCTCCTCCTCCTGTGAAGCCGACTGCGACTCCTACTGCCTCCTCTTGCAGCAGCTAGGGGAGGTTCCCATCATCGGCCACAAGCTGTCCGAGACCCTCCTCATGTGTGCCATTGGGTGTGCTTGGCCTCCAGGTTGCAAGAAGGATGCTTTTCCACGGTGTCAAGGCACTGGTAAATGCCCTCGTTGTCATGTCGAGCTGGAGACGGAGAAGCATCGGAGTTGGAGCTGCTGTGAGAATCAAGGGAACGCCGTCTATGACCAGACAGCGGACATGGTGGTAGAGGCCGATGTGAAGGGCAATATGGAGCCAGCTTTCTGGCTTCGGGGCCTCTTCCCTCGCGAGTGGACCAGTGTCCCAGCACCAACTTCTGATGAGGTTGGGCATGTTGTAAGCACTGACTCTGTGCTGGCCCAAGGTTTCCTTGGCCACGGGTCCGAGGACAGGCCATTGCTTCTTTTCGGCGGCGCCAGCGGCGGGCCAGACACGACCTGCCCAAAGTTCCGACGTGTCGGGATTGGCGTTGTGCTGTTTCGCTCCCTCGAGCCTGTGGTCGACCTCGCCGTTTCAATCTCGGGCGTCCTTGCTGGCCTCAGGCAGTCCGTGCCCAGAGGCGAGCTTCGGGCCCTTGTGCTCGCGGTGCGGGCCACCACTGGGGCGATCGTTTACGCGAGTGGCTGCGAAACAGTCGTGAAGGGATAGTTCGGTCGTCTGTGGGCTTCCCCCCGAGCTGACGATCGCGACCTCTGGCGATGCTGGGCCAACTGCTGCAGAGCCGCGATCCCTCGCGTGTCAGTGTTCTTTTGGTTCATTCTCTGCCGAGGCAAATCTCCGATGCCATCTGCCGAGGCAAATCTCCTCGGTGGCTTGTCACGGGTTATCATGTTGTGGACGAAGCCGCTCGGTGCGCTGCTTTGCCCGCACGACGTCCAACAGCCAGGAGACAGGCGGTGCTGATTCAAGAACGCACAGCTTTCCTTGTCTGTATGAGGATTTTGCGGGCGACGCTCGATGCGATGTCCGCCGATGCTCGGGAGCCTGAGGAACAAGCAGCGCTGTCGTCCGTCGCCCGTCCTCCCTCTGCTGCTGCTCTCGCCCTCTTCTCCTCCTCCCACTGTCTGGACGATAGTGGGCAGAACTGCACTAGATGTGGTGGATCAACTTCCAAGGCGTGTCTCACTAAATGGCGCACGTCCCAATGCTTTACCCCTGCAAATTACGATGGCACTATCTTCTTTAAGCCAACCTCCGCTCACCTTCATATCGCTGGAGGTTGGGTTGATGACTCCCACAGGATGCAGTTCCACGGTAAGTTGCATTTGTGGTGCTGTGTTCGATGTGGTTGTTATGCTAGTGTCCAGTTGCGTGAGCTCGGCAAGATGTGTACCAACAAGGTCACACATACCCGCTCTGAATATCTCGATCGGATTTCCAGAGGCATGTGGCCCAAGGTGTTAAGCACCAAGGAGAAGCGTATGCGTGGCAGTCCAGTGTAAATTGCACGTAGTTGGAAGGCACTATTCAGGTAAGACATCGTCTTGTAGCCAGAACTCCAGAACTCCCCCTCCTCCTCCTCCTCCTCCTCCTCCTCCTCCTCCTCCTCCTCCTCCTCCTCATCCCCCTCCCTCTCCCTCCTCCTCCCTCCGCTCTCCTCCCTTCTCCCCCTCTTGAGGTGTTCGGCAACACTTGGGCGTTTCTGAACACTTCCAGAGGGGCCCGGACACTCGCGAAAACCGTTGGTGACATCCGGAAAGCAAAAAAGGCAAGCTGGAGAAATTTCATATCATCTCATCCTGCTCCTCCTCCTCCTCCCCCTCCTCCTCCGTCTTCTCCTTGTACTCATCTTCGTATTTCCCGGGACCTCCCTGAACCACCTGGAACCTACCAGAGCCCCGTAGGAACACCTGGACCTCCCCCCTCCTCTGTCCTTTTGTTTCTTGCCTCTTCCTCCTCCTCCTCCTCCTCCTCCTCCCCGCTCGTCTTCTCCCTCGCTCCCTGCTCCTCCTCCTCCTCCTCCTCCTCCTTATCCTCCTATTTCTCCTTATCCTCATCCTCCCTCCCCTGTGTCTCCTCCTCAATCCCCCTTCTCCTCCTATTCCCATCCCCTTCCTCCTATTCTTCTCGAGAGACATTCGAAACCTCCGGAGATCCACTGGGTACTTCAGAAAACATCTGGGCCATCCCCTGCAGCCTCCAAAAGCTATAGAAGTCATCCGACAATTATCCAAAACCGATCGGATGCTTAGGGCAGTATCCGAAAACCTCAGCAGCGCCTCAAATTCTGACGAACCTAGCACCCCTCCTCCCTCACTCCCTTCTCCCTGTTCCTCCTCCTTTGTCTTCCCTCCTCCTTCTCCTCCTACTCCTCCTGATCCTCCTCCATTGACGACGACGACAAGCTGGCCGCCGACGCTGGCGCCAGCGCTGGGCGCTGACGACGACGACGACGATGCCGGACGACGACGACGACGACGACGACGACGACGACGACGACGACGACGACGACGACGACGACGACGACGCATTCGACGACGACGACCAATTCGACGACGACGACGACCAGGCCCCAGATTATTCTGGGTGCGTTCTTGCCAGGTGCGTTCTTGCGAGAAGTTCGAGGCGGATCAAGCCGTCACAACAAGGGCACCCCCCGATGCCCGAAAAGGCCAAAGAGGGCTCGAAATCCCCGAGTCTCGAACGTCGATCCATCGATACTCAGCCGATCGACAACGACCACGACGCGTGACGACGGCGCCGACGGCGAGAGAAAGTTAGGAGGCAACTCCTGCGAGGTCTTTGCAAAGATAGAGGGCGACTAAGCCCGATTAGGATGCCGCTGAGCCAGATTAGGCAGATTTAGCCCAGAATTCGGCGATATGTAGCGGGATAAAGCAGGAGAGTGCGGGATTAAGCGGGATTGCGGTCAAGAGCTTTTGCTTGGCGTGTCGCGGCGGCGGCCCCAGCGAGACGCTATGCCTTGCGAGCGACGCTCCGCTCCGCGGGACGGGAGGCTGGCGAAAGCTCGAGACGTTGGCGCTCGGGGACCGGGCTGTAGATAGCGTGTCGCGCGGAAGCGTGGTGGGCCAGAACCTCGCCATCGCTCGGACGTCCACTCCCCGTGTATTGTTCGGTTTCGTCTGTAGCTGCTCGCAATATCAACCGCGGGAGGTTTATAAGACCCCCCCCCCAGTGTTATCTCAGCACCGCACGAAAAATAATACATTCCAGAGGGCTTTTTCGCCGAACGATCACTTTAGCAACTTTAGCACCGTGCCAAACAGCCCCAAACTCCACCAAGCTTGTTTTCAAAATATTGCTCTCGCCTTAGCGCCGCGTACATTCGTTTATCCAAAATGCTCCTCGATGGTGCTCGCCCAGCCCAGAAAACTGCACACGTCCGAGCGACGCCAAGCAACCGGTGGAGCGACAGGCTACGCAAATAAGCGGCATAGGATAGTAAGACCGACTCGGCCGGCTTGCGACCAGGGATCTGCCAGCGCCGACTCTGAACCTACCCTTCCAGGAGTTGCACCCTAACAAGCGACGAAGCACGAGGACGGCGGCGACGACGACGGCGCCGACGACGACGACGCCGACGCACAACGACGACGACGACCGCCCCCAAAGTACATACTGGGACACATTCAGGCCAGCACTCCGAGGCGGGCCCAGCCGTGTCCACGAGGGCGCCCTCCGAGGCCCGAAGACGCCCGAAGAGGCCCGAAGAGGCCCGAAACCCTCGAGCCTCGAACGCCGATCAATCGATCCCTGGCTTAGCTGCCCCGATACGCAACACGCAACACGTAGCGTGTTGACGCGGAACTCAACGCGCAGACCGAACGCGTAGGTCTGACGCGACACGTTCGCCCAAACGTGGGCCGACACGTCGAGCCAACACACAGCGTACTGACACGGACGCTTGGAATATGGCACGTGTTGCGGACCAGAACGAGCGTATCGAGGCGGCTCAGGGCCCGAAGGGGCCCGAAAACCTCGAACCTCGAACGCCGATCGATGGATCCCCGGCCCATGGACCAACGGCGACGGCGCGCGCCGACGGCGAGCGACGGCACCCTGGGGCCTCTGGCGCCGCAGCTCCTCGTCGAAGCCCCGCTTCAGCTCCTCTCGGCGGCGAGCGAGGGGGGGAGGAAAGAAGGCGAAGGCCCTCTCAGAAGGCGGCGGGACTTCTCAGCAGCCCTCGCCGTCCCCCCCCCCTCTGAGAAGTTGCCTGCGTCTTCGGTTAAGGCCTGTAGGAAACTCCTCAGAAGGCCGGGGCGGGGGGGAACTTCCGCGCCTTCTGAGAAGCCCCGCCCCTAGGGGCGGGCCTTCCCCCCCGGGTGCGCCGCCGATCCTCCAGGCACCCGCCGTCGGCCTCCCACTGCTCGACGGCCTGGGCCACGCTGCCGCCGTTGGCGGCGGGCGTCGCTGCGAAAAAGCGCTAGGGGCGTGGGCGAAGCTCGGGCATCGTCGTCGTTGCCAATCGGCTTAAGAGATCGACGGATCGACGTGGTGTGGCCAAATCTCGGAGGAATAAGTATCGGATACCGATAGCGTTACCGGCGCTACCCTTGCCTCGAGATAGGGGAAGCCACGTGATGGAGGATAGGTTTTCGGGCGTTTCAATATGTTCTCGGTTGCTGTCCAGCCTCGGGGTGCTCTCCAGCAGCTGCGCCTCGCCAGGAGCGCTCCGAGGGGGTCCGAAACGTCCTGAACGGCCGCCGGAAAGCCGAATTATGACCCGAAAAACCACCAGAAAATCTGCATCAGGCGGAACGCCGGAGAATAGACTCATTTCAAGCCCAGCGTCTAAGAAGGATTTTCCGCGTGCCACATGCATACTGCAATCGAATCTCGAATAGCACTGTCTTGAGCATAGCGGAGCAGCGGCCTTTGAGCGAGCAAATCGGTTAGCAGATGCTCTCCATAGGCAAGCTTGCGGGACGCCCCAGCACAGACCTTGTGCGCATGTGTGTGTGTGTTTGAATCTAGCAGCATTGACATCCGATCGCAATCAGGACCTCGGAAGAGAGGCCAGCCCCGACAGAATTGGGGCAACATAGTGATGAACAATTGTCTGCGTGTGGCCGGCTCCGCCGCTCGCCTTGCTGATTACTTCCTCCCAGAGGGCGGTGCAGCGCGAGCTTAGGCGTCGACCGTGCAATCGTGGTACATGCAGTTCTCTGCTAGCTGCTAGCGCACAGTCTGGTGCAAGGCTTCTGACTGACAACGTCAGGGGGGAAGGTACCGATACCGCTCCGTTCTTCTCATTCTTGCGTTTTGAGGGCTCGCGGGAAACCCTCGTCACCACGGCTGAATCCAACTCGAAATCCTGGCCGAGCACACCCCCAGAAAGGTCCGGGGAGCAGCGGCATCAGTAGTCGTGCCCCAATGGGAAAACCCTGAATCCAAAAATCTGGATTCATTCGCCTGCTCATAGGGGTCAGACTGCTGGGGGTCAGGGTTAGCGATGGGCAAACTAAGGAAACATGATCTTCTGATAGAAACTGCCGCGGGCGAAGAACTTCCAATGGAACCGCCCAGGAAAAGCAAAGGATGTTCTTCAGACAAACAAAATCCCCGAACAAGGATGACCCAAGGAACTGAGCTTACCTTTTCCTCCCCCCCAGGGGGCGGGCCCCATTCGCATGCAAATGATCGGTCTTGAGCGAAACAGGCAGACGCAGATGACGAGCGCGCAAGGAATAACCCCGCGCCGGCCCACCAAAGCTCCGCAGCATGACGATGACCCGGATCTGCGATCTGCGACGATTTGTTGTTTCAATCTGGGCGAAGTTCCTCGACTTCGGCCTCCAGAGCTCGGGACCCGGGACCATGAATTATAGCCGGAGTGCAGTATCCCCAAACAGGGTTTTTAGACCCATTGCGGTTTCCAAGGTCGATTGCGTGCCCGTCCATGGCATGTTAAAACATGCCTCCGCCTCCTCCTCCTCCTCCTCCTCTTCATCCCGAACGGCATCTCGGAGCCCAGAGTTGCGAGGATGTCTCCAGCGTAACGGGCTGGACCACCTCGCGCGCGGCATTTCGGACCCCAGAGTTGCGACGAGAGCTCAGAGTTGCAAGGATGTCTCAGGCGAGACGGGCCGGACCACCTCGCGCAGGGCATCTCAGAGCTCAGAAGTTCGAGGATGTCTCAGGCGGGCTCCCAGGGTCCCATGGAGGATATGTAACACGTGGTCTTCTGGGCCCCCAGGCTGGACCACCTCTTGCGCGGCATCTGGGAGCTCAGAATTGCGAGAATGTCTTGCGCGAAACAGGCCGGACCACCTTGCGCACGGCATCTCAGAGCTCAGAGTTGCGAGGATGTCTCAGGCGAGACGGGCCGGACCACCTCGCGCAGGGCATCTCAGAGCTCAGAAGTTCGAGGATGTCTCAGGCGAAACGGGCCGGACCACCTCTCGCGCGGCATCTCCGAAGTCAGAGTTTCGAGGATGTCTCAAGCGAAACTGGCCGGACCACCTCGCGCAGAGCATCTCAGAGCTCAGAGTTTCGAGGATGTCTCAGGCGAAACAGCCCGGACCACCCCTCGCACGGCACCTCGGGGCTCAGAGTTTCGAGGATGTCTCAAGCGAAACGGCCCGGACCACCTCTCGCGCGGCGTCCCGGAACGCAACTTTTCGAGGATGTCTCAGGCGAAACGGCCAATCCCGGCCAACTCAGAAACGAGAGTTGTGAGGATGTCTGCAAAGCAATCCTCCTCCCCCAAACTCTGATGATGGATGGGAGGGGATATATTTCTTGAGCCAAAATATGGCGACGGTGCAAGAACTCATTCTCTGTCTTCAGCCTGGCCCTGGGAATACCTGCTGGGGTACCCCTCTGAATTGTCATATATCCGAACACCTCTCCTCAGGCATGGAGCGGTGAAGGGCCGAAAAACTGCATCGCTACTTCCACTCTCGGTGATCAATCCGAGATCTTCCGCAACGGCGTGCAAGCCGTCTCCAACAGCACCAAATGACTCTCCAGCACCTGCTTCGTGAGCAGGAGGCGTGGCTCCACAGAACAACTCAGACCAGCCTTGGAAAGAACGGCACGAACGCTCTCTAGGCGCTCTGCCTGCTCCACGGTAGGGCTCGCGCCAGCCGAGATGATCATCTCAATCAGGCGCTGCTTCCTCACGTAGCCCACCCCAAGGCCGATCTTGTTCGCACGAGCCATAGCTCGTAGGTCAGGCACTGTCAGCCTTGAAAGAACTAGCTGCACTCTCGCATCTCCGTCGCTTGCGGTGTGCTCAGGAGCTGCACTGTCATCAATCAGCGTCTCTGGACGCTCGTAGCAAACCGCAGTGGAGCACGCTCGGGCTCCAGCACAACAGCCTACTAGAAAAGACAGCAGCGCTATGCTCAAAGCCATCACGATCAGTAGCCAGGGCGCGCCTTTGGCGCCCGCCTCCGTCTCCTGGCCGCGCGCCGTCGGCAGCAGCGCGCTCACCACCACTGCTCCGAGCGGCACGAGCCGCAGGTTCATGGTCGCCATGTGCTTGTACAGGGTCTCTGATTCCACATACTTCGTGAGGATGTCCGCGACCATCTCCGTGGTCGCCTCTTTGATCAACTCTAGCTGTCGCAGTCGGACGCGGTCCTGTAGCCAGAGGTACCGCAGCTCGAGGTGGCGCACCTTACCCACGCCGTGGCGCTGGCAGATCCCTCTGCCTGCAGCGCTGTCGCTGGCCACGACCAGGCGCACGGTGACACCCACCTCTCCGAGGAAGTGCTTCGCCTGCAAGCCCCGTGCGGCACCACTGCCGATGGCGTAGAACTCAGACTCTCCCGACGACAACGCCTGCGTAGCCTGGCAGACTGCGAACGCCTCGACCGTGTGGCCTCCGAAACGAACAACTCCTCCAGAGGTCGACGTCCTGAATAGGCTAGTCGTAGACGCCCAGTCGGCATCCGCGTCCACTCGCAGAACCTCTGGCAAGTCCTGGAGCTCATAGCACCACAGCAGCCTCGGTGCGCCCTCGTAGTGCCTGCACAGGCGGTGCAGGCGTGCGTTCATCAGGACGTTTGGCTTACTGACGTGCTGCATAATCGTCTTGGAGCTGAACATAGCATCAGGCCTGTCGCTCGAGACATACAGGCTCAGTCCCGCCGCTGACGAGGTCGACTTGGCCTCGGCCACGGGCAGTGGGTCCAGGGCATTCCTCATGCCTGCCCCCGTAGCCTTTGTTCCAGGGGTAGGCGCAGCCTTGGAGCCCGACTTGTGGCCCCAGCGGATGAGCTCCTCCACGTGCTTCGGATCAGCACTCCAGTAGAAGCCTGGCATCCTGGTCTCGGGCAGCTCGCTCGTGTAGCCCACTATGCGCTTCAAGTTGTTCAGCTCACCTGGGTAACCTGGGCCTATGCTCTCGGACTCGGTGACCTCGAAGTTCGCCTCCAGGAAGTTGCCAATGGCGTCGAGGGTGTCGCGGTGGCCCTCTGCCAGGAAGTCATCACCGTGGCAGCACATCGTGGCGTCCATGCCGTCACCCACTAGGTTCTCGAAGTGGTAGGTGCCAGCTGTGCCCTTCAGCGGTTTGCCTCCCGCGTCGTCGATCGCTGCCTTGCTCGTCTCGCCCCAGAGCTGTGAGGCCTTCCTCGTCCCGTTCATCGCCTTGTGCAGAACCCAGCAGAAGCCTTTTGGACACAGCTCCCAGCCTGGATGCACGTAGACCAGCTCGTCCAAGTCCGCATTGAAGAACGCCTTGCGGACATCCCAAACACGCAGCAGCCGACGGTGCACACCGTCAGCATCGGACTTGGACGCTGCGAGGGAGATGATCAACCTGATGACCATCAGCGGCGGCGTGCCCTGGTGGTTGTCCTCGCGGTGCTTGTCGTTCACCTCGGTCGCGACGAACCTCCAGCGCACCCTGTCGCCCTTCATGTGGGCGATCGGGAAGCCCCTGACGTGCTTCCCCCCAGGCTGGCACTGAGAGATGGGGATCTCCGAGTAGACACCGTACTCCCGCATCGCCTCCAGCTCGTCGCGCCTGCCCTCCTGGTAGAGCTCCTCGTCCAGCGGCTCGCCTGAGCAGTAGTCGTAGTGGACCATCTGCGGGGTCTCGACCTCGTCATCCAGACCGTCCGCCCACATGCTGTACAGGCCCGCCACCACTGCGCTCGGGGCCTCCACGGCGCGCGCAGCGTGGATCAGGCACAGCCGACAGGCGCAGCCCCCACGGTGGTCAGCTCGAAGCGCACACCGTCCTCCATGTGATGGGCATCTGCCGTCGCATCGGCTCTCTGGCATGGGGATCGGGTCCCAGACGGGGTCGTACTCCTCGGAGTCGTCCGCCTCGCAGACCGCGAGCTCACACACAGACAAGCCCGCGATGACGGTCACCTCAGGCCTGACACCAAGAAGCTCGATCCTCTGTCGCTTGCCGCCCTGGTCCTCGGTCTCTGCAGCCTCGACCTGGTGCTTGCGAGTCGCGTCGTCCTTGGTGTCCATCGGCGTGTCGGGGATGTTCCCGACAGAGCTCCTTGGAGGTTGGTCTGCCGTGGCCTCCTGCACCTGCGCCCCTGGCCTCGGCGCGCCCGGCGCTCGGTCCTCAGGCTGCGAGCGCTGACTGGGACCAGGCGCACTCTCTGGCACTGGCGTGCCAGGCGCCACTCCTGGCGGCGCTGGTGTCGCCGGCGAGGCTCCCTCAGTCTTGAGCCTCCGCTCGAGCTCCTCCTGGACGATGTGCTCGAACCTCTGCCTGCAAGCGTCGGAGAGCTGTCCTCGTCCTGTAGAGCATTTGAGGCATTCTGAAGTCGGTCCATGTCTGTCAATCATCCTCTCTGTGATGTAGAGGCCCTTGGGCCTCGCAATCTCCTTGGCCCTAGCTGGCGTGGGGTCCCAGGGCGTCACGCTGATCTGCCTCAGCAGGTCCTCGGACCAGCGGAACTCCTCGGGCATGCGACGCACCGTGCGCACCTTGAGGAGCCCGCGCTGCAAGTCCACGACTAGGTGCTGGTCGTCGAACGCCGACTTGCCTGCCCACACGCCTTTAGCAAAGCGGGCCTCGAACTTGCCCTGACCGCTGGCTACCCGCCCAGCGATCCTATACCTAACCTGCTCGCCGATCTCGGCGACTTCTCCATCATACTCCTTGCCAAAGAGAAACTTGTAGGAGGACCCTCCGTGCTCCCGCGGCTGGAATCGTGTGATGTACCAGCCGATCGCGTTCGTCACGAAGGGTAGGATCGGGTGGTCGGCGTCGATCGCGACTTCCAACCGCTTCTCCAGAGCGAACCTGAAGGTCCTCAAGAGGCCCGCTGCCAGAGAGTTGGCGCCTTCCACGCGCCCCATACTTTGATGAGAATGCGCGGCGGCCTTACGAACGATGGTGCCATGGCTCCGATGCTTCTTGACATCTTCGGCTATGGCCACGATAGCGGGTTCGCCATCAGTCAGTAGAACAACTGTGGTGTGACCTCACGAGTCGATCAGCTTTGCCACGTACAGAGTCTTGTATTGCCCAACCGTCTTGTTCGTCATCAGTGTGCCCATAGCATTCGACCTCCCGTCGACGATGTTCAGCACAGGGATCATCGTGCGCCTCTCGTCCCTGGGGATGCGCTTGGCCTCGACGAGCTTCACAACGAAGCCGTGGAGCATCGGGTACTTCTTAGCGATGTCGTCAGTAGCTGCGAAGAAGAAGTCCATCTCCACGATCGGCACCTGGTCCGCGTCGAGCTCAGGGCTGTCCTGCTGCTTCGGATGAGGTCGCTCACGGCCTCGCCCCATCACACACTCGGGGCACCAGGGCCTGAAGGGCAGGTGGTGTGCTGCATGGGCACGCCTCTCCTGCGCCGTCGGCTGTCCTGGTCTCGTGAGCTCTTTCGCTTTCAGGGTGACGTTCTCCGAGGGGTCTGGTCCAAGCGCTCGAGGCAGAGCCGCAGACGAACTTGTCGGCACAGTCGAGGGTGCCAGCGTCTTGCGGGCTGCAGCCAAGATGCCCACGGACTCCTCAGACTCCTGCGGTCGGAGAGCAGCCATGACCTTGCTCTGCTCGGCGTTCTGGCCGTCCTTCAGCAGCTCGTCGAACTCCAAGTAGCAGGCCGAGCGCTCCTTCTTCAGCTTGATCACCTCGGCGCCGTCGGGCGGCAGCATCGGAGCATCCACGATCCAGTCTCCCATCGGCGAGTGCAAGACTGACTGGCCTCGCCTCGTGATGGCATCTGTGGAGAGGACGGGGTGCTCGATGTCGGCTACCTCCATACCCAGCTGCAAGACTGCATCTCCTCGTCGAATCTTGACGTCGGTACGGCCATGGTGGGGGACCTTGCTCCCGTCGATCGCATGCAGCTCGTGGATCTTCGACCTCTGGATCATGTAGCCTGCATCGTACACCATCTGGCTGGGCATCGCCGAGATCTGCGCACCGCTGTCGATCATTATCGCGTCCTTCGGCTTGTGGCTGACCGCTGCGATGCTCACATGCCTCTCCTCGGCCTCGATCGCCTCAAGCCCGAAAACAAACTTGGGGGCTAGGGTGCTGGACGTGGCCTCCGAGCTCGAAGTCAAAGCTCGCAGCCCGACAGGGATGGTGCTCGCGCTGCTCGCGGCACACGATGGCCCTGCACCTGTCGCACCTGGGTTCGTTGGCGGCGACGACGGCAGGGCCCCTGTAGTCGGTAGTGACGGCGCTGTGCCAGCAGACAAGGCTCCAGCCTTAGCTTGAGCTCTCCGCTGCTTCTGGCGATCCTTCTTGTCATGCTTGGCTTTCGTCGCGGCCTCCTCTGCATCCCGTCGGCGATCATCAGCAGCCTTCTTGCGGCACTCCGAACGGACGTGGTTCGGCTTCTCACAGTAACTGCACCACTTCTCGGCGGACTGGGAGTCGTAGCCTTTGCCTTTCTTGCTCTTGCCGTCCTTGCCGCCCTTCGCCTTGCCGCCCTTCGACTTGCCGCCCTTGAGCGCTCCTATGTCCATGGCGTCGTCGTTCACACTCCTCTGGGCTGCCAGGGCGTTCACCACCTCCGCTCGCATGTCGGCGTAGGTGGGCAAACTGCGAAGGTTGCGGAACAAGTGCTTCTGGAGGTCAGGTTCCTCTGAGAGAGCCCCCAGGAGGATGCCTCGAGAGACGTTCGCCGAGACCGTCTCGCCACTAGCTTTCTCGTAGCGGGCGATCTCCTTGTCCAGCTTCATGATCTCCGTGACAATGTCCGCATCCTTGGGGAACACCGTACCTAGAATCTTCCTGAACTGTCCGACTATGTTCCCTGGCTCATTGGGAGAGTACTCATTCAATAGCTTCTTCCATGCCAGGGCGCCCTCTCCCTCAGGTGTATTGGAGAGGATGCTCTCGCCCGTGCTGTCCTCTGGCATTGCCAGCACCAACATAAAGTACAGCTGGCTGGAGAGAGGCTCGAAATCTGGATTATTCACACTGCCCACGTCATTCACCAGCATTGCCACATCAGGTTCATCTTCGATGGCCTGGAACATCCTTCTGAAACGAAAATCGTTGGCCACCAAGTAGGCCTTCCAGTGAAACTCAAAGGTCTTCCATGAAGAACGTTGGCCGTCAAACTGCTTGACCTTCCCTACTATCTTGCTGTCCAAGATACCTTCCATGCGTCGTGGCACTGCTGGGGGCACTGGTGCTGCTGCTTGCGCTGGTGCTGCTGGTTGGGCCGCGGCCATCCTCTGGAGCTCAGCCGATTGCCTCTGCAGTAAGTCTCTCAGCTCGGCAATCTGCTGCGCTTGCAGCTGCACCTGTTGCTCCATGGCGGAAGCTGACCCGTGACTCCCTGGAGTCACTCAGCAAAATGCCGTGGATCAGAACATGCTCCGCGCTACCATGCAAAGCAATCCTCCTCCCCCGAACTCTGATGATGGATGGGAGGGGATATATTTCTTGAGCCAAAATATGGCGACGGTGCAAGAACTCATTCTCTGTCTTCAGCCTGGCCCTGGGAATACCTGCTGGGGTACCCCTCTGAATTGTCATATATCCGAACAATGTCTGAAGCGAAACGGCCCGGACCATCAAATTTTTGTGAGGATGTCTCTGCTCCGACTTCCCTCGGCCAGAGTTAGCTTCTATCACAACAGCACCCCGTTCAGCAAGCTGTTTGAGGAAAAATCGTGACGACGGATGTCTGCGGAGGGCGGAAGGCAGGGCGCGCATGGCGGCATCTCGGAGCTTCGCATTGTGAGGATGGCCCGGGAGAAAAAGGCTGGACCACCTCGCGTGCGGCATCTCGGAGCTCAGTATTGGAAGGAAGCCCCAAGCGAAACGGGCCTTTCTACCTCTCGACTCCCGTTGAGCCCTCTCATGCAACTCCATTCCTCATCCCTCCTCCTCCTCCTCGTCCTCCTTCTCCTCCTCCTCCTTCTCGTCCTCCTCCTCCTCCTCCTCCTCCTCCTGCCTGCTCCCTCCTCCTCCTCCTCCTCCTCCTCCTCCTCTGGCACGTTTTGAGACGTCGCTAAAAGGTATATAAAAATCTTGTTTGGGGAACCCTGTCTCGGAGCCCAGAGTTGCGAGGATGTCCCAGGTCGCACCTGGTAAACGAGTAAGCTGTCGGGTCGGCACTGTGAGAGGCTCCACCGCCATGCTGTGAACTCAGAAGCAACTTTAAGAGGAAGCGGGGGAGGGCGCGGAAGCGGGGGGGGCATGTCGTGATGAATCCCTCGGGGATGATATCGAGAGGTACGCGGCGCACGTCTCGAAAGAAAAATCGTGACGTCGGATGTCTGGGGAGGGCGGAAGGCAGTGCGCGCATCACGGATGCTGAGGCGGCAGAAACGACGACGGCGGAGACGGGGAGGCGGAGGCAGAGGCGCAGCAGCGGGAGGCGGGAGGCAGGAGGAGGGAGGAGGGAAGAGGAACCAGGCGGGAAGTGGGAAGAGGGAGGCGGGAGAAGGAATGAGAGAGGTTGTGATTGGAGCTCCTGTGCTACGAAACGTCTCAGGCAGAATGGGCCAGACCATCTCGCGCGCAACATCTTCGAGCCTCGCATTGCGAGGATGGCTCAATCGAAACGGGCCGGACCACCTCGCGAGCGACATCTTGGAGCTCAGTATTGGAAGGATGTCTCAAACGAAACGGGCCGGACAATCTTTCGTACACGTTTTGACAAGTCCACATCGCACTCGCTTCCCGTTAGGTCCTCTCCTGCAACTCCCTTCCTTCTCCCTCCTGCTCCTCCTCCTCCTCCTCCTCCTCCTCCTGCCTGCTCCCTCATGCACGTCATCCGCCTCCTCCTTCTCCCTTCCATCTCCTTCTCCTTCTCCTCCTCCTCCTCCTCCTCCTCCTCCTCCTCCTCCTCCTCCTCGACCTCCTCTTCATCCCGAACGGCATCTCGGAGCCTAGAGTTGCGAGGATGTCTCCAGCGTAACGGGCTGGACCACCTCGCGCGCGGCATCTCGGACCCCAGAGTTGCGACGATTTCTCGGGCAAACGTGCTGCGAGGAAGTCTCAGGCGAAACGGGCCGGACCACCTCGAGCGCGGCGTCTCAGAGCTCCGAGTTGCGGGGGCCTCCTGGTGCCTCCTGGGGCCTCCTGGGGACCTCCTGGGGCTTCCTCCTGGGCCTCCTGTGGACTCCTGAACTCCACCTGGGGTTTCCTGAAGCCTCTTGGGGCTCCCAGGGTGGATATCAAACCTGTGGCCGTTTGGGCCTCTCCAAATGGAGGGAGGGGGGGGCACAAGAGCAGGAAGAATCAACGAATCGACACCGGATGTGTATTAACTTGACACGTTCTGATAGGCGGCCTCCTGGGGCCTCCTGGGAGCCTCCTAGGAAATCTCCTGGGGACCCCTGGGGCCTGTCCTGGGCGTCCTGCGGCCTCCTGGAGCTCTTTGGGGCCTCCCCCTCCTCCTGCCTGCTCCCTCATGCATATCATCCGGCTCCTCCTTCTCCCTTCCATCTCCTCCTCCTCCTCCTCCTCCTCCTTCTCCTCCTCCTCCTCCACCTCCTCTTCATCCCGAACGGCATCTCGGAGCCTAGAGTTGCGAGGATGTCTCCAGCGTAACGGGCTGGACCACCTCGCGCGCGGCATCTCGGACCCAGAGTTGCGACGATGTCTCTGGCGAAACGTGGTGCGAGGAAGTCTCAGGCGAAACGGGCCGGACCACCTCGAGCGCGGCGTCTCAGAGCTCCGAGTTGCGGGGGCCTCCTGGGGCCTCCTGGGGCCTCCTGGTGACCTCCTTGGGCTTCCTCCTGGGCCTCCTGTGGCCTCCTGGACCCCACCTGAGGCTTCCTGAAGCCTCTTGGGGCTCCCAGGGGGGATATTTAACCTGTGGCCGTTTGGGCGTCTCCAAATGGAGGGGGGGGGCACAAGAGCAGGAAAAATCAACGAATCGACACCGGATGTGTATTAACTTGACACGTTCTGATAGGCGGCCTCCTGGGGCCTCCTGGGAGCCTCCTGGGAATCTCCTGGAGACCCCTGGGGCCTGTCCTGGGCGTCCTGCGGCCTCCTGGTGCCTCCTGGGGCCTCCTGGGGACCTCCTGGAGCTTCCTCCTGGGCCTCCTGTGGCCTCCTGAACTCCACCTGAGGTTTCCTGAAGCCTCTTGGGGCTCCCAGGGGGATATCTAACCTGTGGCCGCTTGGGCCCCTCAAAATGGAGGGGGGGCACAAGAGCAGGAAAAATCAACGAATCGACACCGGATGTGTATTAACTTGACACGTTCTGAAGAGGGCCTCCTGGGGCCTCCTGGCCCCTGGGGCCTGTCCTGGGCGTCCTGCGGCCTCCTGGAGCTCTTTGGGGCCTCCCCCTCCTCCTGCCTGCTCCCTCATGCATATCATCCGGCTCCTCCTTCTCCCTTCCATCTCCTCCTCCTCCTCCTCCTCCTCCTTCTCCTCCTCCTCCTCCACCTCCTCTTCATCCCGAACGCCATCTCGGAGCCTAGAGTTGCGAGGATGTCTCCAGCGTAACGGGCTGGACCACCTCGCGCGCGGCATCTCGGACCCAGAGTTGCGACGATGTCTCTGGCGATACGTGGTGCGAGGAAGTCTCAGGCGAAACGGGCCGGACCACCTCGAGCGCGGCGTCTCAGAGCTCCGAGTTGCGGGGGCCTCCTGGGGCCTCCTGGGGCCTCCTGGTGACCTCCTTGGGCTTCCTCCTGGGCCTCCTGTGGCCTCCTGAACTCCACCTGAGGTTTCCTGAAGCCTCTTGAGGCTCCCAGGGAGGATATCTAACCTGTGGCCGCTTGGGCCCCTCAAAATGGAGGGGGGGGCACAAGAGCAGGAAAAATCAACGAATCGACACCGGATGCGTATTAACTTGACACGTTCTGAAGAGGGCCTCCTGGGGCCTCCTGGCCCCTGGGGCCTGTCCTGGGCGTCCTGCGGCCTCCTGGACCTCTCTGGGGCCTCCTGAGGCTCGCAGGGTCCCATGGAGGATATGTAACATGTGGTCTTCTGGGCGCCCAGGCTGGACCACGTCTCGCGCAGCATCTGAGAGCTCAGAGTTGCGAGAATGTCTTGTGTGAAACAGGCCGGACCACCTTGCGCACGGCATCTCAAAACTCAGAGTTGCAAGGATGTCTCAGGCGGGACGGGCCGGACCACCTCGCGCAGGGCATCTCAGAGCTCAGAAGTTCGAAGATGTCTCAGGCGAAACGGGCCGGACCACCTCTCGCGCGGCATCTCCGAAGTCAGAGTTTCGAGGATGTCTCAGGCGAAACGGCCCGGACCACCTCGCGCAAGGCATCGCAGAGCTCAGAGTTTCGAGGATGTCTCAGGCGAAACGGCCCGGACCACCTCTCGCACGGCACCTCGGGGCTCAGAGTTTCGAGGATGTCTCAAGCGAAACGGCCCGGACCACCTCTCGCGCGGCGTCCTGGAGCGCAACTTTTCGAGGATGTCTCAGGCGAAACGGCCAATCCCGGCCAACTCAGAAACGAGAGTTGTGAGGATGTCTCAAGCGAAACGGCCAAAACCATAAAATTTGTGTGAGGATGTCTCTGCTCCGACTTCCCTCGGCCGGAGTTAGTTTCTACCACAACAGCACCCCGTTCAGCAAGCTGTTTGGGGAAAAACGGATCCGGGGCCATGAAAAACGGATCCGGGGCACAACAAAACTACCACCAGGGAAGGGGCCGGGACCACCAAGGCTGCGAATTGAAACAATCATAGCGGAGGATGCCAGGGGAGGGTGACACGACCCAGACACCCAGACATCCGATGTAATGATCTTTTCATTACGGGGTCCTCGAAGTCCCGACCCTTTCCCCGGGACCGGCTCTTCATCTAGGGTTGCTCTTGAATGCCCCCAGTTGCCGAAAACGGCGAACAACCTTCGCATTGAGAGTTTCAATACGCAGGAGGTCTGGGGAGCAGAGGCGGGAATAAACGGCGCAGCGGCAAAGTGAGAGAGGAACGACACGCGAGGCCCCTGCACCCTTCGGCTACACGCAAAAGTGACCCTGGGTAAGAGTGACCTTTGGTGCGCGCCTTTTGCGAGGCCACAGGGGGACAAAGCGCAAGCGCGCAAGACACTACTATCGCATCGCGTTCAGCGATCGGGGGATCTCAATGGGCCCGCACCAGAAGTCACTCTGGCCAAGGGGCACTCTTACGTTGGTCTAGTCGATCCCTGTGCGCCTGTGCTTGAGCAGGGACCGATCGTGTCGGCATTCACAGGCCTACCACGAAACTCCCTGAGAACCAAAGAACACTCCAAGAACGAAAAACAATGTTCTTAGAGTGTATCGCCGATGTTTTGAACGTGTCGTGCAAACTCCAGAAGATTCTTAGAATATTCCTTGGTGGGCCTATAGGCAAGCCAGGACGCTTCGCCGCAGCTTGATGTGCCCGGCGGCAGCGACGCCGCTCTCCGAGCCCCGCGGGGAGCCGCTCTCCGCGGAGCTTCCGCCACAAGGCCTGGCGCCGTTTTGCCTCGGCTGGCCAGAGGCGCGAGAGGGCGCGGCGCGCGCCGAGAGGGCGGGGCCATCCCCCCACGTCTCGGGGGACGAAAGGATGGGATAGCAAAGCTCACGTCGTGAGACGAACAGGGCGAATAAGGCAGAGAGGAGTACGAAAGGGACGAACCACCGTGGGGGCCTCCTCGGACAGCCCCCTATCCTCCTCCCTCCTCCTCTCGGAAAAAACGAGAAGTTAGGATAGCAAAGGGTAGGGCAGAATCAGCTCGCGTAGCTGGCTTTCCTGGCGCCTCCTGGCGCTGGGAGGTGCCCACGTATATCGGAGGAGTGGGCCTTGAGGCGGGGCCGAAACCAGCTGCGTGCTGCAGATTTCGACCCCCCCCTTTCCCTGTCCTGCCCTTGCGTCCGGCCCGACTCTGGAGCGCCCGGGCCGCGGCCCGAGCCGCGGCCGAGGCCCTGCGGGGCACAGGCACTACAAATGCGAGGAGGAGGCGCCAAGGCTCGCGCCGTGAACAAGACCCAAACATGCCCGCGTCGTGAAACCATCAGGGCGGGAGGTAGCTGGCAGTTTTCGGCCTCTGGGGGCCCTCGCCGAGCCCCAGGGCCGTCAAGAAAGGCTCAGGATGGAGAGCCGGTCCCAGGGAAAGATCGGGACTTCGGGGGACCCCGTACTGCAAAGATCAGCATACATCCCATGTTTTCCTCGGTTAATGAATCCCCTGGTGTGCCGTGGTCCCATCTCGCACGCTCTGACGGCACCAGCACAGCAGCAAAGCACATGTAACCACGCGGAGGACGGCGGCAGCAAAGGCAGAGCAAGAGGAGGGCAGGCAGGCAGCGGGATGGAGAGCGGAGGCCGAGGAAGCGGAAACAACTGTGGACGCGACACGGCACATCGCAGAATTACGCCTGGAGAGCGACTTGCCTGTAGAATTACAACGTGGGGGCTGCGCCACGCGCGCCCCCGCCTGCGACTCCCTCGGCGGCCGCCGCCTCACGAGAGGAAAGAGGAAGCACAGCTGTGGACGCGACGCTGTACACCGCATGCCTGGAGAGCGGCTTGCCTGAGCATTACATCGCGGGGGCTGCGCCGCGGGCGCCCCCGCCTGCGGCTCCCTCGGCGGCCGCTGTCTCGCGAGCTCTCGGCAGCGCCTTGCCGCCTCTTGCCACTGTGCGTGCGAGCGGCCCGAGCGAAGCAGCCAGCTAATGCCATAGAGCTCCACCACCGCGCGAGGGGCGCGCGGCCCGGGATACGGCCGAGCCCGCACCGCTGGCAGCGGTCGCTCTGCTCTGCTGTAGCCCCCTTGCGGGGCGGCAGGCCTGCGTGACAACACCGCTGATGACCTTGACGATGCTCCTGCTCCCCATCATTATCAGAATCCTCCTCCTCCTCCTCCTCCTCCTCTTCCTCTTCCTCCTCCTCCTCCTCATCATCCTCATCCTGATCATGATCCTGATCCTGATCCTGATCCTCCTCCTCCTCCTCATCATCCTCATCCTCATCCTCATCCTCATCCTCATCCTCATCCTCATCCTCATCCTCCTCCTCCTCATCATCATCATCGTCATCATCATAAGCATCATCAACATCATCATCAGCATTATCATCATAATCAACATCATCAACATCATCATCGTCGTCGTAATCGTCATCGTCGTCGGCATTGCCATCGCCATCATCACCATCATCCTCAACATCATCATCATGATCATGGTCATCATCAGCATCATCATCAGCAGCAACAACATCATCATCGTCGTCATTGCCATCGTAATCGTCATCGTCGTCGGCATTGTCATTGCCATCATCACCATCCTCCTCCTCCTCCTCATCATCATCGTCATCGTCACCATCACCGTCGTCATCAGCATCGTCATAGTCATTACCAGCATCATCACCATCATCTTTTCATCATTGTCGTCGTCGCCGTCATCATCACCATTATCAACGAACTCATCATCATCATCAACATCGTCACCATCATCTTCAGCATGATCATCCACTTGATAATGAAGTCATCATCGGCATCATCAGCAGCAGCAGCTGCCTTACCACCATCGCCATCACCATCACCATCACCATCATCATCATCATCATCATCATCATCATCATCATCATCATCATCATCATCATCATTATCATCATCATCATGATTACCAGCATCATCATCAGCAGCATCATCAACGTCATCGCAGTCATCATCATCATCGTCATCATCATCGTTAGCGTCGTCGTCGTCTTCATCGTCATCATCATCACAATCATGATCACCACCATCGTCACAATCTTCACCACCATCGCCACCATCACCATCATCATCAGCATCATCATCATAATCGCCATCATCATGATCATCATCATCATCATCATCATCATCATCATCATCATCGTCATCAGTATCATCAGCATCAGCATCACCATAATCACCATGATCATCATAATCATCATCAGCATCATCATCGTAATCATCAGCATCACATCATCATGAGCAACAGCAACAGCAGCCCCAACAACATCATCATCCCCCCTCTCCCACCTCTCCCTCCCCCCGCGCTGGTGCTCGCAAGTTCAAAGCGGCTGGGGGGGACTGAGCTGGATAAGCCCACAGAAACTCTGCAAGAGGGGTGGATGAAGGCAAATTCGCTCATCCCCAGACCGCTCTTCGGGGTCGGAATTGACTTGTTGTTCGAGCCCCGTCCAGCCGTGGCGACGTGGGGGCCCCTTTCTCCCCCCCTTTCTGCCGGCCGCAGCCCAATGCTTGCTCGCCTAAGCTTCCCGACTGGCTCCAAATCGCGGGGAGAGGGGAGGGGGCGAAGAGAAGATGAGGTCCAAAGGCCGAGGAGGAAGAGGAGAAAGAGGAGGAGAAGCAGGAGGAGGCTAAGAAGCAAGAGGAGGCTAAGAAGCAAGACGAGGCTAAGAAGGAGGAGGCAGAGGCTAAGGAGGAGGTGGCGGAGGAGGCTAAGGATGCCGAGGATGAGGAGCTTAAGAGGGGGAGGAGGCTAAGGAGGAGGAGGAGGAAGAAGAGGAGGCCAAGAGAAGAGGAGGGGTGGGGCAAAGACAAGGGGAGAACAACATGCTGAGGACATGTCCCCCCGAGCGCGCCCGGCCACGCCTTGCAGGTGACGCACCACACGGCGAAGACCCCCGCCAGCGCGGGGTACCTCGCCACGAGCAAGGGGTCGCCGCGGCTGATGGTGGGCAAGTTGTCCTCCTGGATGGGGGAGGAGGACTTGCTTGTTTATGCCCCTCCTCCTCCTCCCTCCCTCCCTCCCTCCCTCCCCCCACTCCCTCCCTCCTCTCTCCCTCATTCCCTCCCTCCCCCCCTCCCTCCCTCCCTCCATCCTCCCTCTTTCTCTGCCTCCTCTTTCTCTCCATGCCTTCCTTCCTTCCGACCGCTTGACGCGCACCCACAGTCGGGCGGCGCGCCCGGCCGGGCCGCCCGGCACGGGCTCTTACATTCCCCGCGGCTGGGCCTCCTAGCGCCCAGCCCGCGGCTGCTGCCCCTCCCCGCGGCCACGGGGTCTGGTGGGTGGCGCCCGACGCTGACGCGGGGGGCCCCTGCGCACCAGCCCTCTGGGGAGGGGGTCCCCCGGCGGCCCCCCCGACGCTAGGCCGGACGAGTGCCGCTCGGTGGGTAGCCTCCGGCAGCCCCGCTTGGGGCGGGTGGCTGCTCGGTAGGCACTCTCGCCAGAGCGGGGTGGCAATGCACGGGGCGACATCGCACGGCGAGTGGCAGCACTCCAGACGTGCCCAGGCCAGCCACCGGACACCCCGATGGCGCCCGGGGGCGGCCCGTCGCAAGGCAAGCTTGGCCAGCGCCAAGCTTCACCTGGGCTGGCCGCCCCGGGGTGCTCACCGGCGAGCCCCAGGACTCCCCGAACCGTCCGAGCGTTCCCGGCAAGCCCCCCCCCCGAAGGACGCCCGCCCCGGCCCCGGCACGGGGCCACCCCCCAGCCCCCAGCCCCCGGGCCCGCGCCGGAGGCTGGGCCAACCGGGGCCAACAAGCTCCGGTGCGTCCATGGGTGCCCCCCGGACGGGGCCGTCGGTGCGGGCGTCCCCCGGGATCAGGGGCCTCCTGTCAATGCCTCACTCTGGCGCGGGTCAGGGCCGGGCACCAGGGCACGGAAAAAGGTATGAACAAATATTCATACCTTTTTTCAGCCTGCGGCGGCTTCCATATGGGGGGGAGAGAGGCGGGCCGGCGGGGGGCGAGGGCCAGGGAGGGAGGAGGGGAGGGCGGGGAGGAGGCGAGGGGGCCAGGACGACGAGGGGGCGAGGGCGGGGGGGCGAGGGGGCCGGAGACGAGTCGGAAGGGGGCCAGTTTATCGCCACTTCTTATATCTCGCTACTCCGCTCTGGTTCTATCATGGGGCCCGCGCGGCAGCCTCCGCAGCTGCCTCCTCCGCAGCTGCCTCCAGCCGGCGCGCCTCGGCGGCCGTGGGGGGGCTGCTCGCCCAGCCCGCTGCCGCCGGCCCCGCGCGCCCCAGCGCTGCCACCGCCGGGGGGCACTGCTCCAGGTGGGCCCAGGTCTCGAGCGAGGCGCCGCAGAACCGGCACGCGGCCACCGCCCCGGTTGCATCACGCAGGAGGGCGCCCTGCAAGGCGAGGCGAGCCCACGCTCGAACCTCTGGTAGCGTGGCTCCCTGCGCGCTGAGGTCTGCCGCCGTGGCCCCGGTGCCCGCTGGCCGCTGGAGGGCTTCCCGCTGCGCGGGCTCGGCCAGCCATGCCCTGTCCTGGCCACGAGCGGCAGCCCGCACCAGGCGCCTCAACCTGATCGCGGCGGCCGGCCCAGTCGCCGGTCCGGGCGGCTCGGGCACGCCCCAGCGCACCATTAACTGGCGGACGTGGTGTGTCCATGTGCCAGCCGCGTCTTGGGCGAGAGCCAAGACCGCCTTTGCCTCGGCGTATCTCGGCTCCACCTGGGCACGGCAGTACAGCCGGATCGCGCGCTCTTCTATGAGCGTCGAGAGCCGCATCGGCCACCCCACACGGCGGAGGAGCAGGGCCCGCGGGATGGGCCCGCAGACTCCGAGGGCCCCTCGGGCCCACCGCTCCTGGATGCGGTTGAGCGTTGGCCCACTCGCCTTCGCGTGGATGCACAGCTCGGCCCCGTACACTGTCTTGGGCTGGGTGCAGGCACTGATGCCGAGGGAGACCTCCTGCAGCGAGAACCCCAGGCCGCTCATCGTCTGTATGTGCCGCCGCCCGACCTCGCCCGCCGCCCGCTCCATGGCAGTGAGGTGCGCACTGCCTGGCTGCCCTGACGATCGCTGGACGCCCAGGCTCCGGTACTCGTCCACGAAGGAGACACCGTGGGTGGGCCTGGTGTCCGCGAAGCCCCGGGCGAGGATCGCTGTCTTGGTGGGTCCGTAGCGGAGGTGCCCACGATGGCGGCGGGCGGCTTCCTGGAGGGCCTTGACGACGACCCCGCCTTGACGACGACCCCTCCCTCCTGCCGTCCTCCGCCAGACCTTCTCCTTCTCCTCCCCCCTCTCTCCCTCCCTCAGAGAGGGGGGGTGGAGGAAGAGGTCTGGCTCACCAAGGTGCTGTCGAGCTCCCTCGACGGGCGGTACAATTCGTACCCAGACAGGCTCGCGTCGTGACAACCACAAAAAACACGAGCGGGAAGCGCTTGGCACTCTCGGCCTCCAGGGGCCAGCGCTGTGCTCCGGGACCGTCAGCAAACGGCACGGGATGAGCATCCCGCCCTGGGGAAAGGGCCAGGACTTCGGAGAACCACGCCTTGAAGCAAAACGACATCGGATGTGTGGGGACCTCCCACGAGGAGCGGCAAAATTCGTACACGCTTCTGGGAGGGGAGTGGGGGGGGGGGCGGGCTGCACACCCCCCAGGGAACCCACCGTTCACGCCTCAGTGCGAGGGCTCACTCGACTACGATTAGGGGAACAAGCAATGAAATTCGCCGGCCCAACGGGCCAGAGGCGTGCTAAGATCTCCGGTAACTGGTTAACAATTCTCTAGTTCGCGCGCGCGGGGCGGCCCCTGGGGGCCCCCGGACGAAAAGTACCCCGACCAGGTCCCGGCCGGTCCCCGGCCCGGTCCCGGCCGGGTCCCCCCCGGGTCCCCCCGAGCGCCCCATGAGCGCACCAACAGGGCTCCGAAAACGTCCCCGAGGACCCAAACAAAACCAAGAGGCCCCCAAGAGGCCCCCAAGATGGTACACGAGGGGTCCGACATGCCACAAGATCGCTCCAAGACGCCCAAGATGGCCCCCAGACGCCCCAAGAGGCCTCCAAGAGCACTCCCAAGAGGGCCTCCGGAGGCAAAATTCATTGATTTTCCTTAGGTTTTTGAGAGATTTTGGAGCTTCCACCTTTTCGGCTTCCCGACGCCCCAAGACGGCCCAAGAGGCCCCCAAGATCGCCCCAAGAGGGCCCAAGAGGCCCCCAAGAGGGCCCCAAGATGGCCCAAGAGGGCTCGAAGACGGCCCAAGAAGCCTCCAAGACGGCCCAAGAGGGCCCCAAGAACGCCCCAAGAGAGGGAACACGAAACAACATTTCCAGCCCTCGGCCCCAAGAAGCCCCTCCGAGGCCCCAAGAGGCCCCTAAGAGGCCCCAGGAGGCCCCGACGAGGCCCTCAGGAGGCCCCCAAGAGTCCCCCAAGCGGCCCCAGGAGGCCCCCCAAATGCCCCCCCGAGCGCCCCAGGAACCCCCAAAGCGCCGCATTGACACCAGGCCCTCGGGCAAACGGCAGACATGAGACTGTATGGGCCGGCGGAATGAGCGAAGCGATTAAATAAAAGCGGACGTGCGGAGGTCCGCGCTGACTTCTCGGATCGTCGCTGGGGCCCCCTTGCGCGCTCCGCGCCAAGAGCTCCCAACAGTTGTGTGTGTGTCTATCGTTGCTCGTTCCTCGATCGATGCAGCTCACGGCCGACCCGCACCTCCACGACTTCCCGCTTCCCACCGCGACCACCACGCGAGGACGATTTATCGACACGGCCCCGAGGCTCTGTCTGCGCGCCCCGCTGCTCTGGCGCTGGCTGGCTCTGGCCCCGCTGCTCCTGCGTCGTGCTCGGACGGGACCGAGTCGTACCGTAACGACCTTTCTTTTTCCACCGCGACGTCCAGACGACACGCATCGTCGTGCTCGGACGGGGCCCCTGTACCGCAGGGGGGGCCCCAGCGCTGGCCGCGCAGCCGCGGTTCCTGCGGGCCCCGGGTGGCCCAGGCGCGCCGCCCCTGCAGGAGGTGGCGCGGAGCGCGCCGCTCGGCGACCCCGAGGCTGGCGGCCGTGCGGTGAGGGCATCGGAAACAGCCGGACCACGAGCACCTTCAAGATACAGCGGTGAGAGCAGAAGAACACCCTTCAATAACATGAGGCCCTCCGCCGGCCAACACACCTAGAACGTCCAAGGGTGCACTACCCAGGATGCGCAAGAGCATCCAACAGACACAAAGAGCATTGGGGTTACCCCCTCCGAACCGACCTCGATCTTCTACCTCGGTCCGACCGTAGGCCGTAGGGAAACAGCGGGCAAGGAATCCGGGATCCGGTGGAAGGCCAATCGAGGCCTGTGGCTTGGCCACGTGGACAACACCGCCGCCATCCTCCGATAAGAAACCTTCCGGGGTCCAAAGCCTCACGGGCACATTCCTTGGCGAACGCCCCACCGTACCGCCCCCCGTCCCCCTCGCGCCGGCGCCCACTCTTGCGTTTCGTGTGCTGCGGAAGGCGAAAGGGGCGCGGGGGCGGCGGCGTTCGCGCCGCGCCCTCGACGCTGTACGTGTATGTCTTCGGACTTTCTCTGCCAATTAAAGCTGTGCGCGTCCCGCTTAGCTTTCAGCGGAAGAGGCTCGCTCTCGCCCTGCAGATCAAAACGTATGTCTTCGGACGTGTTCGTCGGCTCGCGAAGGTTTTCCAGCCTCGGGGTGCTCTCCAGCAGCTGCGCCTCGCCGAGAGTGTCCCGTGGGTGCCAGAATGGTCTCGACGTGCGAACTCCGCTGGTAGCGTGGGGTCACGTTGTCAAGTCAGGAGGGAAGAGGACGAGGGGGAGAAGGGAAGGTATTCCCCCCTTCCACCTCGGCGGCAGGCATCGTTACTCTGCACCCTCTCTGGGCACTCTGCTGTTCTTGTACTGTCTGCCTTTCCTGTACCGCATGGGCCTGCCGTCTAATTCACATAAATTCGTTTACCACTGTGCGAAGACGTCCTTTGGCACTAGCGCGACGCTCCAGCCCAGAAGCTTAAGTTTGCCCAACGTTAAAAAAAGAGGAGGAGGGGGATCCAGGATCCAGGATCGAGGGCGCTGAGGTTGTTGGACGTTTTCGGCCCTTCGGGGCCTCCAAACGCCTCCAGAGACCTGCGTGGACCCTGCTTGGAGACGACCTAGAGGGATACTCTGGAGACTCTGCCTGATCGCGTAGCGATATGAATCCACTTCCGCCGCAACCTCACTGTGGGTTGGCGTTCGTCCTCTGGGCTTCCTCAACTTTGCTGAGAACTTTGGGTCAGAGTTCCAAGCTGATTCGTCTAACAGTCCGGCCGCTGAAATACGGAACGCTAAAAAAGAACGAAGCCCCATTTTGACCCTAACAGTGCCTCCGTGCACGAGGGCAAGAGGAACAGCAATGGAGGAACCTATGGAACATCGAGCCCCTTCCGAATCCAAAGTGTTCTCGTTTCAGCATCTAATTCCCTGTGGGGGTGGGGTCACTGCAGGATTCGCCCAACTTGCCGAGTAACTGTGTGGCGATAGGCCCGCAGTGAAAACAATATCAGATGTTCAGCCCAGCGTAAAACCTTAAACGATGAGTGAGGGGGAGGAGGGGCGGCAGGAGCAGCAGATTTTGAGGGCCTTCGGGAAATTCTACGGGGATGCTAGACGGGGTCAGGGTGATTCCAAGGGGTCCACGGAAGAGGGGGAATGGAATGTAACGGAATGGAAGTCTGCGAACCAGCTCCAGTGACCAGAGCGGTTCCCCAAAGGGCAGACCGTGCGCCGAGCAGAATGAAAGCACAGTGCACACGCGGGAAAAGAAGTGAAAACACCAGGGAGGAGGGGGAGGAGGAGCAAGGAACGGCAGCGGGCTCGCCTCGGGCACATCGGGCTTCTCCTGGGGCATCCTGGAGCCGCTTCGGCTGCTCCTGGGACCTCTCAGGTAGTCTCGACGGCCGTTGGGGATCATTTGGGGCCTCTTGAGGGAGGGATGGGAAGACGCTGACGACGATGAACCGACGCCGACGCCGACGACGGTGACGACGACGGCGGCGACGACAGCGGCGACGGCGACGGCGGCAACGACGCCGACGCCGATGCCGCCGCCGACGCCGACGTCGCCGCCGCCGCCACCGACGACGACGACGCCGACGACCGCCGACGACGCCGACGCCGACGACAGGGAGCTCACAAAAAACGCACGCGCCCCCCAGCCACGTACATATTGCCGCATCCATTTTGTAGCGTCGCCAACCTTCGGCAGTCATGTACACATGTTGGCGGGCATGTTGCGTGACTCCTCTCGGGAACCCTCGGAAGCCCAACGGGGCTTACATGACCCCGCGGTGGCCCCGTGACCCAACGGGGCTGTGAGACCCCGTGTTGGCCGTGACCGTCGCTCCGGAGCCCATGTGACACGAGCCAGATGGACGGCGGCATGTACAAACTCCCCAGCTCGCGAGAGGCCGCCCTCGTGCCACGAGCGCCCGCGCAGCACACCCCTTATCGGATCGCATCGCCAAAACTCGCGCACGGTATACGCATGCGCGCGGGTCTAAATTCTCGACGTCGGCGCTGTTCGCAAAGGCGCGAGCGGGAAACACCCTTGTGACAAGGGTTCGGGGCCCTCCAGGCCCCCCGATCTGGCCGAAACCGAGGTGGTCCACCAAGACGCCGACCACGGCACCCCCCATTGGTTGAAGTCGACCGAAATTCCGGCCGGCGGGCACATGGGACAAGAAACCTTTGCCCCGGTCACATCATGGGGCGCCTTCTTCGTCGAGCTTGCAGGGTCCCTGGGGTGCTTTGGAGCTTCCGTGGGGGCCATCGGGGAACACGACATGCCCGAGGGACAGCTCCTGGCAGGCCGACTGCTCATCTGACGTGTCAACTGTGCGCGTGCGGCTTTGCCTCGCTCCTGAGGCCTGCGGGCGGCGCCCGTGTTCAAATGCCGCGCGCAGGTCATCACCGCTTGGGGGCCAAGGTTGGCCATCGGGGGACGCCAGGACGGCAGCTCAAAATCGGTCCCCAGACCCCTCCCAGGGTCCAAAAGCACAAATTGTCCGAGCTGCGTCCAGCCGTGGCGATGAGGGCGCCCGCCGAAGGCCAACTAACGTTGTCTCAACTCGCCCTCCTGTGACGTTCGCTTTTCGTTTGAATTTCGGGCCAGAACTCGGGCCTACAGGAGACGTCAGGGACGATTCTGGCACCCACGGAAAAGCTCTCGGCGAGACGCAGCTGCTGGAGATCATCCCGAGGATGAAAAGCCGCCGAGAACCAATGACAACGCCCGAGAACCTCAGACCTCGAACGTCGAAGCCTCCCCTCTGAGACAGCGGCGACGGCGACGGGATGGCGGCGAGGCTCCTCGGAACTGGCGCGCTCCGCGCCGGCGGCGTCCGGCAGGGCGCCGTAGGCCCAACCGTCGCCCCTCCAGAAGACGCCCCTCTTGGGCTCCGTGCGCGTGCGCGCCGGCGGGCTCGCCTGGCCGGGGCTTCCCTCCTGCGAGGGCCGCGCAGCGCCGTGGGGGCGCGGTATCCCCGCGGCGCGCGCTGTGCCCTCGCCGACGTCCTCGTGACCCAGACGTGCTCGCGTCGAGAACAAAATGGTGGCCTGGCTTCCACTGCAACCACCATCAGCAGGAGGGGGAGGTTGTCCTCCTCCTCCTCCTCCTCCTCCTCCTCCTCCTCCTCCTCCTCCTCATCATCATCATCATCATCATCATCCTCCAACTCCTCCAACTCCTTCCCCCCTCCAACTTATGGTGGTGGTGGTGAAAAACAAGTTCATCACAAAATGAAAGAGAGCGTGATCCACCGCCGCTTTACTGCGGAAAATTCCCCCCCTCTTCCTCCGAACCCAGGGTCCCCCCCCCCTCCCCCGAAAATCCCCCCCCCCTGCCCCCCCTCCCCCCCCCCCTCCCCTCCCCCCCGGCAAAACCCCCTCCTCCCCTAACCCCTCCCCCCCCCCCCTTCCCCCTCGAAAACCAGGGGGGGGTCACTACCGGTTCGAACCCCCCTGCCCCTCTCGAAAACTGGAGCGGGGTCACTACCGGTTCGAACCCCTCCCCACCCCCCCCTCACCGCCAGCAAACGACTCCCGGTCCCTACCACCGTCCTCACCACATCCCCCACTGTTGTTCCCAGCACCACTGTCCTCACCACCGCTGTCCCCACTGGTTCCACCACCGCGCCTACTGTCCCCACCAGTGCCACCACCACTGTCGCACTGTCCCCACTGTCCCCACCACTGTTCCCACCACGGTTCCACTCTCCCCACTTCTCCACGGCCCCAACTACTGCCCGACTGTCCCCACTGTCCCCACTGTCCCCACTGTCCCCACTGTCCCACTGTCACCACTGTTCCCACCACTGTCCCCACTGTCCCCACTGTACTTCTGTCCCATTGTCCCACCGCCGTCCTCGCCACCGCCTTCACCACTGTCCCTACCACCACTGTACCCTCCACTGTCCTACTGTTTCCACCACATTCCCACTGTCCCCACACCACTGTCCCCACCACCACCGTCCCCACCACTGTCCCACTGTCCCCACTGTTCCCACCATTGTCCTCACCACTGTCCCCACCACTACCGTCCCCACCACTGTCCCACTGTCCCCACCACTGTCCCGCTGTCCCCTCACCACTGTCCCCACCACCACCGTCCCCACCACTGTCCGCACCCCCCCCCGGTTTTCGAGAGGGGGGGGGGGTTCGAACCGGTAGTGACCCCCCCCCTTTCCATGATGGACTGGGGGGGGAGGAGGGGTTCGAACCGGTAGTGACCCCCCAGGTTTTCCGAAGGGGGGGGGGGGAGGGGTTCGAACCGGTAGTGACCCCCCCGGTTTTACGCCAGCAGCGGTAGAACATGCTCTTTCCAAAATCAGGACGGGAGGTTTTCGGCCGTTTTCGGCATCCGGGGGCTCTCGCAGCGTCAAAAGACGACTCTGGATTCATTATCCGGGCAAAGCAACCTAACAGCGATGTGTGTAAGCATATGTGGAAGCATTCCACTTAAGATTCAGGTGAAAATCCAGTTGTAGAATTCTGCTGTTCTCGCAGTCGCAGTCGCATTCGCAATGACAGTCGCAGTGGCAACGGCCTTAGGATCCAATGGAATCCTAAGGATTCCTAGGGATTCCTAAGGCATCCTTAGGCATCCTTAGGAATCCATAGGAATCCTTAGGAGACCTTAGGAATCCTTAGGAATACTGATTCCTAAGGATTCCTAGGGATTCCTAAGGATTCCTGAGGAATCCTAAGGATTCCTAAGGATTCCTGAGGATGCTTAACTATGCCTACGGATTCCTAAGGATGCCTACGGAATCCTAAGGATTCCTATGGATTCCTATGGATTCCTACGGATGCCTCAGCCTGCCTCAGTTTCAGCCTCAGCCTCAGCCTGCCTCGGCTTGCCTCAGCCTCAGCCTCAGCCTGCCTCAGCCTGCCTCGGCCTCAGCCTCAGCCTCAGCCTCAGCCTGCCTCGGCCTCAGCCTGCGTCAGCCTCAGCCTCAGCCTGCCTCAGCCTCAGCCTCAGCCTCAGCCTCAGCCTCAGCCTCAGCCTGCCTCGGCTTGCCTCAGCCTCAGCCTCAGCCTGCCTCGGCCTCAGCCTGCCTCGGCCTCAGCCTGCCTCAGCCTCCCCTCCTCCCCCCCCCCTTCCCCCCCCATTCAGCCTCACCTTGTCTCAGCTTCGGCCTGCCTCGGCCTCATCCTCAGCCTCAGCCTCAGTCTCAGCCTCAGCCTGTCTCGGCCTGAGCCTGCCTCGGCCTCAGCCTCAGCCTGCCTCAGCCTCAGCCTGCCTCAGCCTCAGCCTCAGCCTGTCAGCCTCAGCCTCAGCCCTCAGCCTCAGCCTCAGCCCTCAGCCTCAGCCTGCGCCTCAGCCTCAGCCTCAGCCTGCCTCAGCCTCAGCCTCAGCCTCAGCCTGCCTCAGCCTCAGCCTCAGCATCAGCCTCAGCCTCAGCAGCCTCGGCCTCAGCCTCAGCCTGCCTCAGCCTGCCTCAGCCTCAGCCTCAGCCTGCCTCAGCCTCAGCCTCAGCGCCTCGGCCTCAGCCTCAGCCTGCCTCAGCCTCAGCGTCAGCCTCTCAGCCTCAGCCAGCCTCAGCCTCAGCTCAGCCTGCCTCAGCCTCAGCCTGCCTCAGCCTCAGCCTCAGCCTGCCTCGGCCTCAGCCTGCCTCAGCCTCAGCCTCAGCCTGCCTCAGCCTGCCTCAGCCTCAGCCTCAGCCTGCCTCGGCGTGCCTCAGCCTCAGCCTCAGCCTGCCTCGGCCTCAGCCTGCCTCGGCCTCAGCCTGCCTCAGCTCAGGCATTCAAAATATGGCACAGGACTGGTGTTCTGGGAACACGAAGATCACGAAGTGGCCCACAGTTGGCTCCGGGCAATCAAAATATGGTACAGGAATAGTGTTCTGGGCAGACGAAGAACACGAAGTGGCCTACAGTTGGCTCCTGGCATTCAAAATGTGGCCTGGGAATGGTGTTCTGGTGGCTCCGGGCAATCAAAATGTGGCTCCCGGCAGTCAAAATGGTGAGTCCCCGGTTTTCCCCGGCTTCTCCCGGATCCTGCCCAGACCCCCCTGGGGAATGAGGATGCTCTCTTTTGACCCCACTAGAAACCTATCAGTTTTCGCTGTTAGGTAAAAACTGGCTCAGGGGAAGGGGTCGGGATTTCGGGGAACCCCGTCTTGAAGAAATCAGGACATCGCAGGTCTGGGAACACAACGCGCGCCGAGGGGGCGCGCCGAGTTTCGTGAGGACAAGTCGTGTCCTTCCGTCGCAGGGCCCGCGGGGAGGGTAGCTTTAATGTTCAGCGTGCCGCGGCGGCGAAACGCAGTGCCGTGCAGGCTGGCTCCATTGCATTGCTTTGAATTGCGTTGCATCGCTCTGCACGTATTTGCATCGCATTGCATTACGTTGCATTGCAATGCATCGCGATGCATCGGGCTGCATCGTTTTGCATTGCTTTGCGTGTCTGTGCATCGCATCCCGTTGCGTTGCATTGCTTTGCATTGCTTCGTATGGCTTTGCATTGCTTTGCAATGGTTTGCATTGCTTTCGCGCGTGACTGGAGACTGCCAGTCGACCTGCGGAAGGTCATCTAGGAAGGTTCATACAGCTCCACCCGACGACTGGGCAAACGTCCTATTAAACCGCGCAAACATGGAATTAAAGTGTGCCTTGGCCTCTCCATGGGCGCACGCCTGTATTCGTGCATCGACCCCGTCGCGCTGAGCCCCCCCCTTCCGGGCGAAAGGCACCACGCGGGGATGTGACGACGTCGGAGCCATCAAAATGCAAAGTGTTTGTTGTGAACAAGCTCAAACTTCGTTTAAATGTGGCGCCTCCGACGCCACGCACCACAACCCCTTTACAAATACTGGGTGGTACGCGGATGCGCGTGCTTGGTTTGAATTTGGAGCGGGGCCCGAACGGCCACGGAACGGAGCAGACCAACACGAGAAAACATCAGCATCGGTATGCCGTGCGATGGTCAGGCTCTTTTTCGGCTGGGCTGAACGAGAGACGTGCTTATTCTGGGCAAGCTCGGAACTCGTTTAAATCAGGCGCCTTTGATGACATCACGACCCTAGCTTGCCCCAATCTGGGAACTGCCTGTTTCAAAATAGAACCGCGTAATAGAGAAACGTTCAAAGACCCTGGGGGCTCCTGAAGAGATCCAGAAACAACGCCATCTGGCAAGCTGCGACGGAGAAATTCATACAAAAAGGGGGAAGTCCGCGGGGGCTCGAGCGCGGGGCACCCACAAGGGCCACCGTCGCTCACGCGAAAGCAACACCGAAAACCGAGGGCCCAGACATCCTCATGGCTAGCACGCTTGCAACCGAACCTAAATGGCGAGACAAGACAACATCTGCCGCCGCGAAGTTACAATTCGCTGTCCCGAACTGACGGACATCGCACGAGCACATGGGTTACGAAATTCATGGGTTTCGAAATTCATGGTCTCGCGCTGGCTGGTTTCTTAAAACTCATTCAGACATGCCCAGGGTCTGGCCCAAGGGCTCGGTATGTGCACGAATACATGCGACTGTGCACGATTGCGCGACGTGCTGCGCATAAGAATGTAATGTGCACGGAGGCTGCGTTGACAAATATGGTGCGAGCATCTCTGGTCGGTCCTTAATTCGCCTCGTGGGGCCCAAGCGGGGCCCGAGCCGAATCCAAGTGGGGCCCAAGTGGGGCCCGAGCCCAACCCAAGCGGGGCCCAGCCGAATCCAAGTGGTGCCCGAGCCAAATCCAGCTGGGGCCCGAGCCGAATCCGAGTGGGGCCCAAGTGGGGCCCGAGCCCAGCCCAAGTGGGGCCCAGCCGAATCCAAGTGGGGCCCAAGTGGGGCCCGAGTGGGGCCCGAGCCCAAGCCGAACCTAAGTGGGGCGCATGTGGGGCCCGAGCCCAACCCAAGTGGGGCCCATCCAAATCGAAGTGGGGACCAAGTGGGGCCCGAGCCGAATCCAAGTGGGGCCCGAGCCCAATCCAAGTGGGGCCCAGCCGAATCCTAGTGGGGCCACAAGTGGGGCCCTAGTGGTGCCCGAGTTGGGCCCGAGCCCAAGCCGAATCCAAGTGGGGCGCAAGTGGGGCCCGAGCTCAACCCAAGTGGGGCCCAACCGTATCCAAGTGGTGCCCAAGTGGGGCCCGGGCCTTGAGGCCCCCATCCTAAGGCTATGGGGCCTATGTTGACGCCTTGGTTTTGCAGGGATAATCACGCATGGGGTCTTAATGGGTTCAATTTCTGGCCTGGCGAGGCCCCGTGGGCCCGCGCGAACTGTCAAAAACATGCCATATGAAGAAAAGTGGAGGAGGAGACGGAGGAAGAAGAGGACAGGGGAGGAGGTCTTCAGGCATTCGCCCGCCGCGAGCCCTCCACTTACGGCTACCAAGACACCGCCATCGCGGAACGAGCGCCCCGGGGAGACCCCCCAGGAGCGCTTCCAAGGAGCCCAGAAACGCCCCCCAATAGAGCTTGCCGCGAAGAGACCGCCACGCAAGGTTCCTCGGGGGCCATCTGGAACACACTGGAAGCCCTCGGGGCATATAGATTGGAACCCTTGCCGGATCGCCTGAGGCCCCTCTTGGAACCAATGGGAGGGCCCAGTTCCCTCTGGAGAAGACCCCCCTAAGCCCCCCACGGAATCAACAGCGAGCCCACTTCGCGGCGAGCTCCTTATGGAACGCTCACGGAGCCATCTTAGGGGCCTCGCGCGCCTCCAGCCCCCCATCGAGGCGACCGGCGGGAAGGGGCCCAACAAACGCCCCCAATATGTCACCGAACAAATAAATGCCCAAGAAGGCCCGCGCCCTTCCCGTTCAGGAACGCCCAACGGGGGACGGGCGGAAGAGGCATCAGCTTGCATGCGATATTGTCAGACACACACAAGATCCGAATCATAAGAACCCGCATCCGTTGTTTACCATTTTTCGCAACTCCTGAGCCGCGCTCCTGCAAGCACCATCTCTGCGCGAGAACGTGTTAACGAATTAACGCGCAGCAGATTTCATCTGTCAAACCGCCGACGGAGAACATCCTTGAGCTCCCGCCTGTCGCAGACGGCGCAGGAGCCCTCTTCGATCAGGCCTGGGGCAACTCGTTGAAGCTCTTCTGCGCCGCCACGTGGAAGTCTCGGATGGAAACCCTCGCCTGGGGGAGCAAGTCCAGCAGCGACGTCACCGCCGTCGTTTTGCCCGCCATCGTCTGCTTCTCGTCGAAGAGGATCTGGAGCGCACCTGCCTCGAGCCGCGCCTTGTGCGCCAAAGGCTGTGTTTTCATGGCATTGTCGATCGTGGCATGCTGGGTCGGCAACAAATCCTTCTTGTGCGACACGGCTGTGTCCGTCAGATTCTTCTTGGCTCTCTCGATGTCTCCGATGGCCTTCCGCGTCTTCGCGGCCAGGCCCTTCGCGGAGAAGATACTTGCCCTCGCCTGCCCGCGCGCGTCTTCGAGAGGCGAGTCGCCCGAGAGGCCGCGCTTCCAACAAACCTCCTCTTCGTTGAAGAAGGCGAGCTTGGCCAAATTGGCGCAGTGGTTCTGCAACTCAGTGTGGGCCTGCTCCACGTCCGCATCCCTGTATTGGTCGAGTGCCTCCCCATCTTCACAATCGCGTAGTGCATGTTCGCTTCGGGGTCCATCTGCGGGGTGACGCCGCGCTTGTTCGCGCCCAGCTTGGCGCTCGCGGCCGCGCGGGCGTTGGTGGTGGAAATGGCCTTGACCAGGTGATTGTAGTAGTTAGGGCCGTCGTCATTCGTGACCTGCTGAGCCGCGCCGCCCATGCGCGACAATACCCCATGCGCATCGAGCGCCTCGTAGACCGAGTGCAAGAAGCCCAGACGTCCTCCCAATGAATGGAAGCGCTGATCCTCCTTCCGCGGGGTCCGCTAGCTTGCAGAGCTCTCGCAGGAACTCCACGTCTCCGCCAAAATTGATCATGCGGGCGGTCTTCAAGTCATCATCCGAGCCGGGCCTGTACTTGAGGAAGTCGTGGTTGGCGGCCGCGCCAAACGCTTTGAAGATGTCGTCGTAGTGCTCCGCGGTAGAGAACTTCACCTTGCTGTTCGAGAGAAGCGCCACTCTGATCTCACTTGCAGCGTTGCCCTTGTCTGTATTGCCAACAAAGTCCTTCGGCACCTTCAGGATGGAGTTGCATGCCGCTGTCTGGGGTGCCTTCTCTGCCATCTCTCGGATGGCATCAAGCAGCGTCGCCAGGCCATCCTCGAAGAGCTCGCGCACCCTCTTCGGGGAAGACTTGTTGGCGAACAGCTGGTCGAAGCGAGTGAGCCCCGCTTGAGTCTCCAGGAGCTCTCCAACCAACGATCCGCGCTCAGTACCAGTGGCGGTCGTGTACTTGTCTGCGGTGCCCGTCGCTGCCTCGACGACGGCCATCACGATGGAGATTGCGGTACCACTCCTGCATGCCACGAACCAGCGATGGAGGTCATCGCTGGTGGCCCTGATCGTCGAGGAAATATGATGTTGCCCGATCTCGGCCAACCGCGCCTTCATGAGAGGTGCTCCCTTCATGTCCACCTGTGCTGCGCGCCTCCACTGGTTCTTGTTCGCTCGCCAAAACTCGGCATCGTCCATTTCGCGGCTGAAGGACGCCCGCTCTCTGTCAACCTCGCCATGGAGCATCTTCCGAAAGTTCGTCAAGTCAACTCCGATGCAGGCCACTGAATCCAAGGAGTGGTCCCCGAGTGTGCCCAGTATGACAGCACACAGCAATGCTGCCTCGTGGAAGTCGATCATGCCCTGGTGGACGCCCCCAGAAAAGCACATAACCTCCCATTCACCAAGATCTTTCGCAGCTCCTTGATCTGCGTCAACGCACTCTCGCCCTCCTTGACCATCGGCAAGATGAGGTAGTTGAGCAAGTCGTCCCTCGCCTGGCTCGGGATGTCCTCAACGGGCGCCTTCACGCACGCTAGCTTTGGGGCGAACGGGTCGAACACCAGGTCGCCCGATGATTGGATGTAGGGCTTGATATTTTCTCATAGAGCCTCCGCGTCAGTGTCACGCTGGAGGCCAGCCCTCAGCCAAGCCAAGCACCACTTCGGGCAGTCCGTGACACCGACGCCGCCCTTGATCAACGCGCGGAGGTGCCTCGAGCTCACCTGCGGGTCCTTGATGATGTGGAGGCTCGTGACACTGAGCTCGGTAGCCTTCTCGATAAGATGCAACAACTCCTGCTTCCGATTCTGCGCGTCGATAAGCGCCGGCTTGAATCGACGAAGAGCGCACTCCCTATCGCCGAGCGTGGAACCGTCCAAGATAGCCCCGAGGTTGACTTGCGTCTCCAGCTGCTGATCCTCTGCATGTCGCCCCCGCCAACTGGGGAGCGCGAGCTGCCGCAAGTGGTGCTGGCAGCGCCACCGCCTGGGCCAAGCGTCAACGGAGCTGCCGCTCCTGCCGTGCGCCGCTGGGTGAGACCCGACGCCAAGCTCCGCACTGAGCATCGCGGTCGAGACCGCGTGTGACGGGCGGCGGAGGGGCGCGCCCCCTCGATCTGCGCGCTTGGCGTCGGTGGCGCAGCACGTAGCGATCCCGCTGGGGCCGATGCTGCCACGGCGGCGCCGTCGCCGCTCGGGAAGGCCGAGTTCCGTCGGGAGGCTGGCGGGGTACAATCTGGAACATCGGCTCGTGAACCCTCGACGGGAGCACCCTCGTCGACCAAGGTCACAGGTGCGGCCCCACCGCGCGGCGACTCGCCTGGGTCGCGGCGGCCTTTGGGTGGCGGTCGAGGCTCCCTCGTGGCAGCGCCAGCGTTCGTCTTCAGCGCAGCTTCGAACCTGATGGAGTCGATCGGCGGGGCCAGGTTCCTGCCGCGGATCACCGTGGGCATCGCAGACTTCACGTTGGCGGCCTCAGCCTTGACGACCTTCTTCGCCTGCTCCCGGTAAACATGGCGCTCAGCACTCTGCGCCCGAACCCTACCTTCAATGAGGTACTCTTCCACCCTGCTAATGTCCACGTGGGGCTTGTCGGGGCTCGCCGTGGTGATCCCGCTGCAGCTGGCGCCGCCGGGCATCTCCATGGCGCTGGCGGCCAGGGACAAATCCTTCAGGTCGACGTCGGCTGGCGCCCGAGCGACGTCACGAATATCGGCGTCCTTGTGCATCCTGAAGTGCGTCTCCATCTTGAAACCGCATCGCGAGACAACGTCAACGGTCTCCTCGCCGAAGTTCTCGTTGCGCGCATCCTCTGCTGACGCCGCGGTCGCCTCGAGTGAAGCATCCACCGAGGTGTCGTCCTTCATCGCTCTGCAGAACTTCATCCAGTCGGGGTGCCTCTCTGACCGCGCCCAGGCGCCCATGGGTAGTGGCACCTCGCGCAGGCCGAGACGGCGGGGTCGGGGAACGGCTTCTCGGGGGCGGAGACTTCGCCGCATGCGACCCTGCCGCGCGTGCGAATGGCGGACGACGATCCTCCACCGAGCGCCCCTGCAGCAGAAACCAGAGGACTTCACTTCGGCGCTCTCCTCGCGCGCTCGGTTTCGCCTTGGTCGGGCTGTCCACTCTCGTCACTGTCATTATCTCTGTCATAGTCTGGGCTCTCTGCTATGTCAGGCACGTCGGTCGGCTGTGCAGCCATCGCTGAGGCCCTGCCGCGCCTGTCGCCACCTCGACCGCTCCGGGGGGCAATGTCGACGGCGTGGTCGAAAAACACCCAATTGCGCAAACGGCATGGGCCGAAATGGCTACGCAAAGACGGGCAGTAGTCCAAAGAAAATACACATTCCTTGGCGGCAAAGAATGCATGTCGAAATATGGTGAAAACCTGATCGGAACAATCAATCGCCTGCCCTGAAACTAACGACACCCCTCCGGACGGCCCAGAAATGAGCCAGGAAGACTCAGAAGGAACATGTGGCCCCACAGGCGCGGCAAGACCGAAGCAACACGTATCTTCACACACCAGGGAAGGCTCTATTGCCAGGACATCATGGACAACGCATCTTGCGGGGACTTTCTCCACAGCGAGCATCCCCGACCGGTGCTTGCAGCGAGGAATATAATAGAAGCGATGTTTGGGGCCATCTCGGAAAGGTATTCGGTTCAATGCGAAAGCGTACGATTGAAAACGCACACAAAATGGCAATGGCGAAAGCACGGTGCGAGTCAGCACAGGCCTCGCAATCGAGAACGGCGCCCTTCGCTCAAGAGACAAATTCAAGTGTAGCGACCCCACGCAGCCGTCGTTACACGACGCAGAACTCACAAGCGTGAGCGGATGTGACACGATAGCGGGTACGAGTGTTGTGACAATATATGAAGTGGCACGCGTGCGGTTGGGTTATTCACTAAGCGTTGCATGTGGTTGGGTTCTTCGCCGAAGATCGCTAACTGTGGGTGTCTCGTTAAACATGCGAACCCTCAGACGATTCAAATCCTTCCATAATGTGCATGCGTTGTGTTAGCTACGAGGTGCAATATGCGCGGTGCGCTGCTGGAGATCTTGGGGCGCACTAAGTAAAAGCCAACGCGCGGGAAAGCCCTGCGCACGGGCACGACCTAGGTTTGATAAAAATGGCCCAACATGCGAGAACGTCTTGAATGCGGGTACGACCCATGCAGGCACGATCATGGGCCCCATTCGGTGGGGTCCAGCACGCATGGGAGCGATGCTCGGTCCAATCAAGTGGGGCCCAACATGCGGGAACGTCGAGCACGCGGGCGCGAGCTCTGCCCTGAACCACTTGGGCCACGTGGGAAACGAAAGGGGAGGCGGCGCAAGCAAATGATGAGTCGTCGCGTTCATCGCGCTTTACTTGGAGAGCCGCGTGGTGGGATTGGGTTCGGGTGGCGTTGTTCTGTTCAGTGTGGACGTTGCGAAGTGGGTGGCGTTCGTGGCGTTCGGGCGTTGTGTCACGTGGGCACGGAGCATGTGCATTGAGTTAATAGTGTCATATGCTCTTGGGGCGGAGCGCGCGGGGAGTTGCACTCCGTTGCAGCGCGAGGTTGTGAGAACACTTGAATTGCGGCGGTGGGGGCCGCATCCTGTGCCTTGATTGCGTGGCGAATCGGGCATTGTGGTTATGCGGGTTCCTGCGTGGGGTTCAGCGACTCTTGGTTTGGCGGTCGCGGGTGTCGGTGTAATGCCCGAGTGAGAACTTTACATTCGCTCGCGTGGTGTTGGCGTGTACGTCGTGCATGTCGTCAGTGGCATTGTTGACCGTGTTTGCGCCGCTGTGCGCTTCGAGCAGCGAGGGATGCACTGCGATGGGGGCGTGAGTGCACGTTGGTCGTCAGGGCGCGCGAGAACCGCGGGGCGGCGCGTGCCGGCCACGTGATAGACGACGGGCGGGTTGAGAGGGAGTGCTTGGCGGGGGCCCAGGTGAAGCACGCAAAGCGGCTCGTGCTCATGAAGCGATGCGTCTGTCTGTTTGGGGTGTGTTGGGCGTGCAAAAGAAGTGGGTATCGTTGGTGGTGGTGGCGCGGTGGCGCGGCGTGGCATGGCGGGCGGTGGTGGCGAGGGGAAGCGGCTGGAAACCGGACGGGGGGGCGGTGGGGGAGGGGCGCGGGGGGAGGAGTGGCAAGTGGGTGGGGTGGGGCGGGGTGCGGGGGGGGGGGGCGGCGGGGGGCGGGGGGGGCGGGCCGCGGCGGGCGGGTGCAAGGGGGCGGGGGGGGGGCGGCGGCAGTGGCAAGGTGGCGGGGGGCGGTGGCGGAGGGGGCGAGTGCGGTGGGGGGGGAGGTGAGGGGGGGGCGTCGGCGGTGGCGCGCGGGGTTGTCGGGGCGGCGCGGGCGGCGGTGGCGGGGGCAGGTGCGCGGGGGGGGGCGCGCGGCGGCGGCGCTGCGCACTTTCGGAATGGAGTCCGCGCGGCGAGGGGCCTGCGAGCGCGAGGTCGCGCGCGCGGCGGGGTAGCGCGCACGGAGCCCGTTCCTTCGGCGAAAACATATCAGGTCGCCTTCTCCATGCGCGACTTGAAAGGATACTTGCGGGCGCGCCCCGCGAAGACGTTCGCTGAGTCTCCGCGGCGTGTCCTCGGCTGGGCTTGCGGCCGGGGCCGCAGCCGCACTGGGGCGCCGCCGACGGGGGCGGGGCTCGCCGGAAGGTTGTCGCGCCAACGTGGCGGGCGGGCGCCAGTGGGCGGGCAATTGGCGATGCGCGCGCAGATCGCGCAACTCGGCGAGCGGCCCAGCGCCTGCGCCAATGGCGCGATCAGACTGGGCGGGTGGTTCGGCGCTGGCGAAGCATAGGCGCGGGGGGCTTTTGCGCGTAGATTCCCAGGGCGGCCGACAACGCCTGGGATGTTGCATCGAGCGGGAAGGGTGCCTGCTCGGCGCGCCTCAACGAGCGAGCGACGCCAGGGGCGCCCCCGCGGCGCGACCTCGAGGGGGACACATAGGCGACTGAGGCTGCGTTGGGGAGAGGGGGCGGTGGAAGCGGAACCCGCGGACGAGGAAGGGGCATTGCACTTGAACGCCCTGCGCCTTGAGCCCTAAGCCGCAGCCCTATGCCATAGGCCTCGGGCACCGCCCAAGGCCCACGAGCCCGAGGCCTCTCCCCAGGAACCCAATCCCCTGGGCCCTCGGGCCTGGGCCCCGAGCCCTGAGCCCCTGGCCGAACGCGCGCGGGCCACCCCCGTCGCTCTCGCCCTTCGGGCCACGGGGCGACGGGGAAGGGCCGGCGGACCTCAGCGGAGATGCCTCTGGAGACAGCGGCCGTGGACAAGGGCGCGTTCGAAAGCCTATGCGCTCCGGGCCTGAATCCTTGGGCCCCAGGCCCCCAAGCCCTTGGCCCTGGGCCGCGGGCTGAGCCCAAGGCCCGACGGCCCAGGCCTTAACCCGCCGACCCTCTAGGCCCCTTCCCCATAAGCCCCTCCCTACGCCCTGGGCCCCTGGGCTCAGACCGCGCCCCAGACTGCCCTAAGCCGCGCCCTCGGCTAGTCCATGGCGCCCTAAGCTAAGCCCCAGCCGCGGCCTGTGCCTCATCGGCGCCCCAAGCCTTCGGGCCCCAGGCCCCGTCCTAGGCCCCGCCCAAGGCAACCCTCGGCTCGCGCAGGCCCTCGGGCCCGCCTTGCGCCCCGGGCCAGCCGCGGCGCCGCCCTGGGCCCACCATAATCTCATATGCCCTAGGCCCCGCCCCACGCCTCAGGCCCTAAGCTTCTGAGCCTTGGGGAACGGTGCCGCCGGGGCAGCCCTGGGCCGCCGTCGGCCCCCAAGCCCCAAGCCCAACCCTACGCTCTAAATCCCGCCCTGGGCCCGGCCCGAAGCCCGCCCTAGCCCCGCCCCAAGCCCTGCTCCGCGCGCCGCCCCGGCCCTAGCGCCTAGCCACCCCCCCCTCCCCCCTCCCCCCCGAAGGCTTAACTCCCCGGCCCGCCCCCCCCCTCCCACCCCCTTGACTGCCATGGGCGGCGAGCGGCCCGTCGCCCTGCTTCTGAGCGCCCCCGCGCCACTCCCGACCTGCGGCCCAGCGCCGCCGTGACTCTTCATCGGCGCTGATCTTGTTTGATCGATTTTGATGGAATTTGATGGTTCTTGATCGGTTCGGATCGTTCCGTGTGGTCGCGTCTCATGGTTCCTGATGGTTTTTGGTAGTTGAACATATTTTCATCGTGTCTGATCGAACTTGATAGATGTTGATACTTGTTGATCGTTTTTGATGTGTTTAATAGTTTTTGATAATTTTGATGGTGTTGATCTAAGGCGATGTTCGATTCTGATTGTTTTTGGTAGTGTTTGATCGTTGTTGGCAGTTCCTGATGGATTTTGATTGATTTTCGTATACTTTGTTCGTTGTTGCTTTCCTCGGGCCACCTCAGAAGTTTCTCGACCACGGAACGGGTTTCCGGGGCGACCGCCGACACTTCGGCGGCGCCAGAACCAGACTTTGGGATCGCTGAGCGGCCCTCGAGCCACCCCGCGCGGGAACGAGCTGCGGCGCCCCGAGCTCAGGTCAGCCGCGCGCGTTCGCGGCGCCTGAGGGCGCAGCAAATGCTTGAACGGACGGCACAGAGCGAAAATCGCGCGCGTGCCAAATTTATCATGTTGGTCGCGTCGGCAATTATCACCTCGCCGTCCACGTTGTTCCGCGCGCATCCATTACTGGAAGCGCCTGGAAGAGGGCGGGGCAGGAGGGTCGGGAGGGAGCACGGCAAGGCGCGCGCCAAGGGGTATCAGGTTGGTCGCGTCGACACAGGTCACCTCGCCGCCCGCGCCGTTCACTCGCAGGTCCACCTGCGGCGCGGGGGGAGAGGGGAATAGGGCACAGGAGACGACAACACCATGAGACATCGATTCGACATCTTGCGGCGATACCAAGGCGATCTCAAGGGCGGTCCTGGGACTCTGCGGGCGGCTGGAATTCCTAAACCTGCACTAACCA